ATGATGGATGATGATGAATGACAATGGGTGACAATAGTGCTGCNGGTGGACAACGATGAGGATGATGGTAAACAACAACAGGATAGGTAGCACGGAATAGGACAAAGCCTGCCAAATTGGGCTTGGATAAGCATCAGCTATTTATAAAGAATGTTATTAGAAGATTATTTGAACTGACATCCCAGCACATTTTCAATAATTTCACAATAATCTTGGCAGGGTTATCAAGATTGTTATCCAAAAGCGGCTTTACAATAACTGCTTAAGTAATCTTTCAAGTATTTCAGGCTCCAGTAATTCAAAAGCCGATAGGGTGGTTCCTGATAATCTTTTTGATAACATTTCAAATATCTAAGGCCATTGTTACTTGAGAGCTGGCAAGGGTGGTTTTGATAATACTTTTAGATAAAAACAAGTTATTTACTTGAGCCCAGATAACCCCCGTTTAAAATATCTTTTTGATATCTTTCAAATAATAAGTCCATTTTTATCTTGAATTGCTTGCAGTGTGATAATCTGTCAAGTGTTTTTGCTTCCGTCGCCTTGTCACCGCAGCTGCGGGTATCGGATGCATCGCTCTTTGACGTTTGGTGAAATGTAAGCATTGGGTCGCGCTGGCTAGCTCAGACGAAATGGTTCGTTCTCTGGCCTTATCACTCGCCTTTCTTCCTTAGAGCAGAACCCAGCGGGCTCGAGCCTTGGATTACATTGCAGAAGCTCTCTGTCCGAAATTTTGGTAGCGTTCAATTGACGGACCTGACGCGACGGGCGCTACTCGGGTCCGGGCCTGACGCGGACGTTCCGACGCTATCGGGCCCTCAACAACGCTTGTTACGTACATCGGCTAGCTCACGCAGCCCTTCGCATTCTACAAGTCTGGGCGGTTGTCATAAAGCGACTGCGAGCCAGTAAGCACCCATCCGCTTTTCTCATCTCTCCCTCTCTCTCCGACTAACACGACTCCATGGACCTATTTCCTCTGCTCCCTCAACATCTCTACGTCTCTCTGGATCCCATTCCCGGAAGCCCCTACTTCCCTCCGAAGGAGCTGGAGCTGGAACGGTGTCGTAACTTTCCAATCATCCTTGGAAGGTACGGCTGCGCCTTCTGGGCCACCCAACCGTCAACCCAAAAGAACGGGTACTTCCCCTTTGTAGGGAGCGGGGAAGAGAATTTTGGTGATATCGACCCTTTCCATGCTTGGATTGATATTGAGGGAGTCACCGAACAGAACGGCGAAGCCGTATGGGTCAGTGATGACGTTCAGCTGAATTTTATGCCCACTGACAAGCTTCTGGCATCGTAGTTGAAAGTTCGGATTAAGAACATGACTCCGACCGGGAGCGTCCTCGTCATGAGAGGCGTTTCCGTCAACGATGAACAGACATTCATCGAATCCGGAAACACTGCTGACGATCGTGAAACACCTGTCGTCACCCACTTACGCTTTGGAGATCGTGGGTACCTGCAATCAGGGGATGTATTGGTGCGTTGGTAGTGACCGCAGCTTCAACGCACCTGACGAGAGCAAAACTTGCTTTGTTTTAGTATTTTGGGAGCACGGACGGCCAGTCGCCAGGGATGAGCGCGAGGGTTCAGATCAAGGAGCACAGCTGCGTTGAGCAGTGGAAAGTCCCACCGTATCGTAAAATCAAGCGCCGCATGCCCGACGCACCATGGGAAGATCTACTCCAGATAGCTCGCGATATATTCTAATCTCTCCTGATCTTTTCCCATTCGTCCCGTTATATCCTCGATACCCTGTTCCAATCTGCCCTCATCGCTCTTTGATTTTTCTTCATCTCTCGGACTGTTTGCTTATTCTCAGCCTGCGCGCATTCTAATCCCGGGCTCGAGTCGGTCTGCTATTGATCAATCCCTTCATTTTCAGCAATTCTCTTATCGCCCCGTCGTCGCTCCTTGTCTCTTTTCCCGGATCTACTTGCCACTCAACGTCACTCGTTCCATCTTTCTTCATTGTTTAGCTCGGTCTTTTGCGCTCTTTGGTCTATACTTGACAATATATACCCCTTACATTCTTACAGCTCCTAAAAGGATCTCCTTGAAAAACATCTTCCTCGCCAGTGCGTCTGCACCCAGATCAGAGGGAGTACTGTAGAACCCTCAGTACCCCCGATACTCTTCAACCCCACCAAGTCTGCACGGGCGGCCGCACACGAGGTCACAGTTTCCGGGATATGCGAAAATGTCTGTGGCGTTGCGAATGCTTTGGTGCGCACCATTGCGTGCTCATTGACCTCGGGTTCCATTATGCAGAGTCATCATACGAAGAAATAAAACGATACAAGAGCGTCAAGCCACCCGCGTGAACGTCGACGACAGGTGGCTGAAAAGCTGATGGTAGTGGCCAGCCGCCCACGGATATTTGTCAGGTATACGACGTCTTGAACCAGCAATCCGTAGGCTTAGCCCGCGAACCCCACCAACTAAATTACGACTTGCTAGGGGACTACGTAAGAAGGGCAAGGCTGTTGATCTACTTCTCTTCTACTTGCCGCTTTCGTCTCACGCAGTGCGGGACTGGCCTGGGTCGGCAACGTCTCCAGGTTAACGGGGAATTCGGATTTCGTTGTAGCCGCGTCTGTCCGGCTGTCCAGCCATCCAGCCACATGCGCGGGAAAAAATAAAACAGCCGACGTGTGGCCATAATTAGATAATTAGCCCCTGTTTTAGTGAAGCGACCGCTATCTGTTCTATCCTCCTCCTCTGCCCTGCGCACACAGGTTAACGACTCAAGATATCTACTTCCGTTTCAATCTCTTCTTGAAAGATTAAAGTATATATATATGGTTGTGATACTACACTGCTAGACTAGTCTCTTCAGCAAACGAGCCAAAAATGATACCAGTAAAGCCATTGCCCATTCAAGCGCCGGGCAAACGCCTTGCTGACGCCTTGAATGTGGTCCCGTAGAAAGCAGACCACTCGAGTGCGAGGTCAAGCGGTGGGCTGATGGTAACTGTGTGTGGGGATCGTCCTGGGCACGGGTGTATGGCGTCATTGTGAAGGAAGTTAAGCACAATGATCCCATCGTCTGGACTAAGTCTGGACAGCTGGACCGCTGGACCGCTGAGAACGCCCGGGAAATGGGAAAGGCGGCAATTGCCGCCGCGGCGGCGTGGCGGCGCGGCGGCAGTGGCGGTGCTAACAACAAACTCCCACGATCTCGACGCGACTGGCGCGTCGCCCCTGGGCCAGTGAGCCACAGATAAGTATTCCTTCGCCATTAGGGCTGTAGAATTCCTTCTGTACTAGATAACTGTCCCCAATAAAAAGCGTTATCTCCCCAGACTCCCTCTTCGTCTCGTTCCCTCACTTTCTCTATTTTCTTTATTCCCCTCGTCGCGGTGAGCAGCAAGCATGTGCCCAGGCGGCCATTCTACTACCTTGGGCTGTCCAACTACCTCGGGCTCTCCGTCTACGTCGAGCTGTCCATCTACTTCGAGCTGTCCATTGGGCCATCCGTCTACCTCAACCGGCCCATCTACGTCGAATAGCAGCCACTCTAGCTCGTCGGACGAGCCCTATGAGATTGACGGTGTTCCTTACTGCCCTTGGTGTCATCAATCGCTGCAACCCAGGCGCTGTGCCAACGGTAGGGCGGATCATATTAACCGCTACTTTGTCGTCGTACGTTTCTCTATTTTTTATATTCCATTTCATTTGTATCGCTCACGATTAATCCAGTGCGAGAATGTCCACGCTCATCCGTTGGGATGGGGCGACAAGCTCAGGAAGTTCTGGCACTGGTATCCTCTCTTTGGCGCCCCAGAGCACATCATGCTCCTCTCAGACAACTCCTGGACACCTCTATCCTCGCCCGCCTCATCTCCTCCCGCACGTTCTCCCGCTGCCACCGTTCCACTACCAGCACTTTCTATTCCTCAAAGCATCCCATCGGCACCTTCCACTTCGGCTGCTAGTCAGCCAGTACCTCATGCCCGTACCTATCCTCCCCTTGGACCCTTCGTCGCCGGTGCCCTCAAGTGTACATGGGAAGGCGGCTGCCCCAAATCGGCGCCGAACCAGCGGAACTCACGCTGCTCCAAGACGATGTGTAAAAAACATTGTATTGCGGCTGATCGGATCGGATGCTCGACGGCCAAGGACCATAGCCCTGAGTGCGCTGGCAAGCTTCAGAAGGCGAGTTTAGCTGCTCCCGCGCCCTCTGCTCCTGCGCTGTCCGGATCTATGGCACCCCCTCCTCCTCGCAGCACCCCGTCTTATTCTGCTCCATCTCTATCGCTGCCTCGGTGGTCAGTTCCCGAGCTTACAGATGAAGAGTGGGGTCTGAACCCTCAATTCGACGACCTATCCGTGCTTTCGGAGGTTGCGGTCAATTTCCCCGACTTAGGATTCTCTTCAATCGACTCTCCAGCCCTCGATAATCTGCCGCTTGACTCGCCAACGCCCCACTCTACTGCTTCTTTCTCTCAGCCCTCGATGCCACCTCCATCTCAGACTTCTATACCACGCCCTTCGCAACTTAACTCACGGCAGCCTCGCATTGGCGCACGCTCGGCCCCCACCACTCAGTTGAATGACGACTGGGTGACGAAGGCCAACGACGCCAGCGTCCAGCAGAGTCTGCTCCACCGAGACGAGCAGGAACAGCTCGCTCGCGCAGAGGAAAGTACCCAGGAGATTGAGATCATTGTTTTTATCACCGTATGTTTCATTTTCCATATTTCCTTGTATTTTTTTTCCGTTTGCTCATCGATCGTCAGAACAATGATCCACCCATCAAGCTCGCTCTTCAAGGATCCAACGCGCCGTCTCACCAAACAAAATCGGCCATCCCGTACTGGCCGTACTTCGACCTCGTCTCGGCCTCCAAGCGCACTCCTCAGCTGCCGAACATTGACGACCGCACGCTCGTCGAAGTCTGGGACAAACGGAGGAAGGATTGGTTGGCAGTTGTCTCCTCCTTCAGGTTTACCGTCAAGCACAAGGACGTCTTGGTCTTCCGGATCAACGGCGTCACGCGGTGCCCCAGCGTGAAGGATTACACAGCGCCTTCCTACAGGCATGGCCTCTCCGCCGACCGCTCGAAAATCCGTGCAAAACTGAAGCAGCCAGCTCGCGTCAAGCGTACTAGATCGCCGACTCCCGAGCCCATGTCTTCCTCACCCAGCCAGTCCTCGGTTTCGTCTCTCAACTCGCCTCCTTCGTCCTCAGAAGCTGCTCGCCCTAGCAAGCGTCAGCGTACGGTGTCTTCCTTTGTACCTTCGCCAAACCGAACGCAGCAAATGGTTTATCTCGCTCTGCAGGGCGGCCCTCAGCCACCTGGATATGCTCCGCCCTCCTCCCTCGATCCTTCGCTCTCCGACACGTCTAGTTCCTCGCCGTCTTGCTCCTCGTCATCGCAATCAGGTGCTAGCACGGCGAACACGTCCATACGGGCCCTTGGCGACATCTCCGAGCTTCCCAGGTTCAAACCATCGACAATCGCCACTAAAAAACCTTTCCCATACGGCTGGAACGCGAAGGACATCGAAGCCGCCCTCAAGCTTTTTGACGACAACCGATTCGCTCATATCAAGCCCGCCGACCGCTTCCACGCTCTCTTCGGTCCCGACATACGGTATATTCGCGAGACTCTACGCGACGCAAAGACACGATGGAGCATGGCCGACGATGCTTGGAAGTCCAACATCCGAGCGATCCCAGACACGACGGATGGACTCTGGGACAAGGTCACGACGACCTTCAAGCTCAAGCCATCACGCACTCGGCGACAGGTCGTCGAGATGCACCAGGCCGATCTCATCAACGTGGAGACTAATCCCCCACTGCTGTATACAGGGTCTCACAGCGATGTTGATTCAGAGGGCGATGATGACGACGTTGTGATGGTTGAGGCTCCATAGGTATATAACATACTACTCTGATACTCTCTGTACTTGCTCTGTATGAATATATATTCGTTTTGTCTTTTAGGGAGCAGAGGACGAAGCCAAAAAACACACAACGCGCACAGCTCACGACAACGATGGTATATCTGTATTGAAACATATATACGAATGAAACATGTGTACAAATTAAAACTAGCTATCGAGTGAGGACAGAGCTTGAGAGCTAATGATGATAATACAGAGTTCAACCGATCGAGTGAGGACAGAGCTTGAGAGCGAACGATAATATTAATACAGAGCTCAACTATGTAAGAACAGACTCTAGAGCTTCAGTGTCTGATGGGTAATACATGGGCATAAGTCGTCTATCCTTCAACGTCTGTATAGTATCAATGTTCTTGAGACGAATCATCTCGTCCAGGAAGAAATTGTATTTGATGGGCAGCATCTCCTTCAAGATAGAGTGATAGCTGCCCAACCAAACGTTCGTCTGCTCGGCGACTGACGTATTAAACCACCACCCTTTACCATCTTCGCGCATGAGCTCGGGGTAGCTCGCCGGATTACAGTACTTCTGACAAAAATCGTGAGTGGTCTTGTGTTTCGTGACAAGGTGCCACGGATCAACGACCATATGGACGTCATCCCACCAGTCGTCGTCGAGGTTCATGGCTTGCTGCTTGGCCTCGCAAGCCGTGTCGTAGATGAACATCTCGGGCTTTCGTGCGCCAGGTACGCTGAACGATGTCTTCGTCATTTTCTGCCGATGAGATCAGTATTTTACCGTTCATAAAATATATTAAAATTCTTACCAGTACGTTCGAGACTGCTTCAGCTCCGAACATCATAGCACGCTGTAGAATAATGCCACACGGGCGAATGAGTGTAACCTCGCACGCGGTACGACGACGAGCAAGAAGGATCCTCTGTCGTTTCGGTGTCTTGCTGGGGCACGAGGCTGGCGCGCTGGCTGGTTTTATTTGACGATCAGGGCGATCAGCGTCAGCGTCAGAGACGCCTACGTTGACCGGATGGCTGTCGACGCGCTGAGTGACGCGATTGAGCGCGTCGACCTCGTACCAGACAAGGGCGTCGTCGTCGGTTTCGGCGTCGAAGTCAGGAGCAGATATCCTGCTTCGTGTGAGGCGGCTAGTTAGTACGAACATAGACTGTCCGCGCTGGACGGTCTTTCTCTCCATCTCGACGTGCGTCTCGTCATCGCACGTCATCTTCGTGTTGTCGGTGGGTACTATTTTCCTGGTGCAATTCTCCACGGCGCATTGGTCGGCACAGAGCTTGGCGCAGCCTGGGCACCAGTGGTTCCGGACTTTGTCGAGTGACTTCGTGCACCGGAACGTTTTGCAGCACGGATGTCCGATTGTGAGCCCGTCACTGACGACGGGCTGGCAGCTTTCTGTAGGGACAATGTAAGCATTCGTACGAGTGAGACCAGAAAATGAAGGACTTACTCCAGATTACTTTACCTGTTCCCTCCTCTTTCTCCTCGTATATGCGCATGCAGCCTTTGCAGTGGTGCTGTATTTCGCGCTGGCCAAGCGCAATAATGCGCAGATTCCGATCGTGCATGGCTGCGTTGAAGCGTACGCGCTGCTCGCCGGTGTGAAGCACTCGAAGGAGTCGACGGTGGGCTCGGGCATCGCGAAGGAGAGCGAGGATGACGAAGGCTGACCAGACGTGGTCGCCTCTGAGCCTAGGAGAGAACGGGAGCCGCGTTATAGCGTACGGTAGCTTGGGCCGGGTGTAGTAGCAGCCCTCGATGTCAGCTAGCGAACGAGCAAAGGTCTGCTCGTATAACTTCGCAAGACCTGCAGCGGAGGAACTATGCAGAATCAGAATACTAGTATGAGTAGAGCGGCAGGCTGGACTTACGAGTTTATCATCATGTCCTGTGTCCACATATGTGCGAGCCTGAGATCTACATAATGATGCTCACCGACCTGTATTCTGCGAGGAAGCTTCGAGTAGTAATATCGATATGGTTGGCCGTCCTTGACACGGACGCGCGGCACGTAGTAATTGTTGCGGTAATTGGTACCGCAGGCTGCATAGAATAAGAGCGAGTGAAATCGGCCGAAGAGATAATACGCACCCAGGCATGTGAGGTAAACCGACTTGGCCCATTGGATACCGTGATTAAACGTGAATACTATCGCGTCCCGCACGTACTCCTTCCGCATTTCGGAGTGCCGGTCCTTGCACTCGGGCTGAGAGCACCGGCGCATTGGGGGGAACAGTGAAATGAAGGCTGAATAGTTTAAACACTTGAGCTATAGAGGAAAGAGAGTACTTACAGATTCCTTCACGCCAGCCGCTCTCCATAAACAAGTCAGCAAGAGTCACATACTGCTTATTTGCATCCTCCATCCTCCAGATCGTTTGCCGAAAGACGGACCATAGGACCTCGGCCTGCTCGCTTGTAATGCCTAGGCACTCGCAGATCCACTCGGCTTGCGTGTCTGGAAGAAACGGCGGGGCTGAACTTTCGGTATCAACATCCGAGGGGTAGGTAAGGGCAATCTCATCGCGAATGAGACTGCATATGTTGACGAATAGTTGAATTTGATCCGTTGTTATAGGAAGTAGGTGTGGATATGTTTCAAGAACAGATGGAATTAATGATATGTCGAGACTCATGACAGCGGAATAGATATACGGCGTGTAGGGATATAACAGACGTTAATCTAATCTAAGCGCGGCGGCGAGGCGACGCGCGGCAGTCACATCGTGGGATTTTTGTTTTAGCACCGCCACTGACGCCGCGCCGCCCAGCCTGCCGCCGCGACTTGCCGCCTTTCCCAGATCTCGGACTTTCTGGGACCGCTGGACCGCCGGAAAATGCGGATTCCGCGTTATCCTCAACGTCTCGAGGTCGCCGACTAGTTGTCTTATTTGACCAATCATTCAGTCGGGACTGTGGGTAATTTCGTTCAGACGTGTTTGTATCCACCTCGCCAACCTGAAGGCATAAGGCAGCACGAAAAGTTTAAATCTTTAAACTTCTGCAATCGGCGGCTGAAACTATGGCCGCCTTGTGAGAGCATGTCGGACGTCTTGTAAGGTAATCAGAGCGATGTTTTCTGTTTCTACCATTCAGCCGACGCGAAAGGATGCGTAGTGGATGTTGGACTGTTGACGAGGCGCTCAGCCCTCTAAACACACGCAAACAAATCCGCCCCAGCGTGCATTCAGTGTTTCTTCTCATCCTCTGGGTACTTGTCCGTTCTGTATGTCCACATTTCCCACCCAAGCCGCATCATCTACCTCACGCAAGCATCCATCTCCAGTCAAGACTCAAAGACCTAGACACGTCGATGTAGAATGAGGTTTCCAACGACGCTGCAACCCTCTCGGAGCCCGCTCTTCTGCATAGACTCTTGAATGACATCAGAGATTTAGATGTCAACGGTTTCTGGTATGCATATGGTCGCAATGTCGCTTGTGATCTCAGTACTGACCGAAAGGCTAGACTCACAATGTGTCATAACATATCAGACCGCGCGCTTTTCGAGACCGACTGGCTGTTTATAGATCTCAGTCTCGGCGGTCAGTCTGACATGCGACCACCAAACGTATATCAAGAGGTCCTGCTCTTCAAGTTTCTTCAGTTCACCACCTGCTCTTCGCTCCAACATCGCCCTCAGTACCTCGCAGCAAATCTCGCCACCGCCTCAACATTCAACAATGTTTCCCAAGTTCAACAACCTACTCGCTGTTGTCTCTGCTGCCCTCGGGCTCGCGTTGGTCATCGTCCATCCGCTCGTCACTGCATTTGGCGTTGGAGCAATGGTGCTCTACGGAAAGTCTTCCAAGTGAGTTCTGTTTTCCCTGCATGTCCTGCCGTGTACTCCGAGCTCACCTTCGACGCAGGGCTCCTCCAGAAGGAACCGAACGTGGAGAAGAAAGTCCCAGTCCTGCTGAGTGAGTGTCTTTGACTTCGGCGTCGCAATCCAATAAGGCACCCCCTGACGTTAACACTAGGACGTCCACCACTTCCGAAATCAACAACCTCAAGGCGCGGCTCAAGCTCGCCGAGCTCGACGAACGCATCATCGCGACCGAGCTCGGGGCAATCAAGGCGTGCAACACCGTCTTGGAAACCGAACTCGCGGCGTTGCGCCCGGCGTTCAAGATCCAGGCCGACAGGTGCCGAGAGCGCGTCAGGATTCGGGACGAAGAAGTGGATGCGTTACGGGAGCAAGTGTACGACGCCAACGAGAGGAGGAGGAGCGAGAAGGCGTCGGTCGACGAGCAGAGGGACCACACCCGTCGGGTGGAACGCAAGCTGCTGGCTCTTTCCATCGCATGGAGCTACTCCGAGCAGAGCCAGGCTATCCTTCCCTCTTCTCCATCGCTCTCTATCTCTCCCTCCACCGACACCCAAACCCTTCAGACCGCTCTCGCCGAAGCCAACCTTAAAGTCGAGGCTCAGACCGACCGCGCCGAGTTGTCCGGACAGGCGTTACAGTCGTTGCTTCACATCAACGAGCAGGTCTGCGCACGGATGGAGGCTCTCGAGCGCACGATAGCGGAGCTCAGGACCGGAACATCGAAGGTCTTCAGCGTTCGCGATCACCACACTGCCTCGCCACTTGCCCCCGTCGCCCTATCCTCTTTCGATTCTGTCATCAACTCTTCCCGCATGCCTTCTTCATTGATTTCGTCCTTGTCTCTTCCCATCCTTCCCATGCATTCCACAACATCTCCGACAATGTCCTCTACTACAATATCTACCTCTCCTTCCACCCCCGCACTCCCCTTATCCCCTCTATCACCTTGCACCTTATCCATGCACTCCGGTTTCTCTCCAAAGGTTTCCTTCTCATCTTCAGCCTCCGCGCCCCATTCCCTCTTCTATCCCTCTCATGACCCCGCCGAGATCTCTCTTCTCGACCACATCCATCGCTTGGACCAGCTCGTCGTGTCTCTCGAGTCGAAGATTCAGGCGCTCGAGTACACCAATCAGGAGCTCGAGGGTGACCTAGGCGACCAACTATCCATCGCCATGCAGCTCCCGGAGATGATCTTCTCCGTGGGCCAGGAAGCCGCTGCCAATGACGAGGAGATCAAGATCCTCAAGCGCGTCATCCTCAAGAGGCTTGGCGCGCAGGAGCTGGAGGATGTCGAAAACTACATCGCGGATAGGAAGAGTGTGTCTCCAGTTCATCACGTTTCTGACGCAGCCATTGATGCATCGTGTTCATTGCGCAGGTCTCCATGCGTCTCCGCAAGTCGTTCTCACCCAGCCCGAGGGTGGGATTGTGCGCGGAGTGGACAATATCAGCCGGCTGATCTCAACACGCAACTATTTCTATTCCCCGATGTCCGCATCCCCTTCCTCTGGATTAGTTGAATCTGACTACATGGGTGAGTAACGACTCTCAAGCCACTTCTAAGGCATAGGCTGACTCGGCCTTCTCTTTTAGCTGTCAGTAAGATATTGTCCGACGTCAAGCGGTCCATCGACGATGGGCGGCTACTGAATCTTTGGAGCTACGACCCATCACCCCGCCACCCGGCCGGTTTTTCATTTGGTGTCGACGTTCACGCATGCGCAGGACAGGAGAAGGCATAGGAAGATCTGCTCGAGGGCTCAATATGTGTCACTGGTGACACATCATCAATATCCCTCTCTTCAGACGACGACGACATGGAGTACTCGACGGACGCGGCATCATCTAGTTCATCTTTGATGTCGTCCCCTACAGTGCCATTTACTCCTCGGACTTCGTCACGATCTTCCTCTCCGCCAACTTCTCCAGCAACATCTTCGGTGACTTCTCCGGAAGACGACAAGCGCCAACACGAGTGCGCTCACGGGTCATGTACATGGCTACCCAACTCGCTATTGTACCGCTGCCCCCTCTCTCGTCAATCGGCATACTCGGTCGGCTCGTCGAGTTCCAGACTCCGGCGTTCGATGATGTAGACTGGTTCACCGGGATGGTATCCGCAATTTGGTCTAAGGGTAGTTGCTGGCAGCTGCCCTGACTTATTTTTGTGGATTTCCCTTCCCCTTTTGTACCATTGCATTGTTTGATTCTATGTCTACGACGGCAAGCAAGGTTGTTTTATCCTGATAATTACCAGCTATAATTATACCCGTAAATATCCAAAAATATATCATAACTGATTTTAAATGCATTTGACGTTCATGGTCACCTATTTCTCACGCCCACGTCTTAGCCGTGCTTCCGACTTCCGACTTACTGCACAACTAAAGTACTCCAGGCTCGATCGTCGACACGGGTCTGAAGCTTAGCTTGAGCATTCAAATTGAGACTTGGTCTCGATCAGCACTCTGATACTCGTTCGCTCGTCAACGTCTACCGACCCAATGAACTTCCGCTAAAAATGCAATCCAACTTGGCTGAGGGCTTTTGGTTTCATGTACGTCTTGTCCCCCTTCCCTCTATAGGCTTTGAAACGTGGAACATCGGCATCCAGCAACGAACCGGAAACATACTCTGTCGGGTCTTCGTCGGTAGACGCAGTCATCCATAAAGATTCGACCCCAGTTTGATTTCTGACCGATTACCTTGAAGTTCCTGATTTAGCACCCTGATGAAACATTCGTTTCAGCGGAGTCCGGTGATGTGACTCAAGGACTAGTTTTCTGGACGCGCATAAGAGGCCTCGCTCGCGCACGTCATCCACGTCTCCGACCCCGTCCTCCGTCATCAGCCATCTCAATACATGAGCAACGGTAAGAAGCCACTCTGTAGCCCTCAAATTTCACCTATGTGCTAATTCCTTGATTCCTTGCGCCTTGTCTCATCGTCAGCCGCCGCCTGTTCCCACTCGATGTGAGCCTTCCTTCTCGCCCACCTAGTGTTCTCATACCGATGCCGTCAGTAGGGATTCACCAGATCCTACTATTGGCGCAGTTCCCTCGTAAGTCTCGGGTTAAGCGATTCTATAACTATGCCTAACACGGATACTAGGACAGTATGCGGTGAATTGAAGCCATGTATCGAGGCACTGGGATGTTCTAGGTGAGGCTCGCCTGCATATTTTCGTGTATACGCACCCTCATACCAATGCCAGCTCTACGTACGCGCCTTCCTTCACTTCGTCACCCTGTATCGACGACGCGTGAGGCCCTATTGCTTTAACCCGACCCAGGCTTCCGCTGACATATTTTTAAGGGAATCCGGGACTGAGGTCGTCAAAGACCTCCGCGCCAAGCTTTTCATGGCCGAGGTCAGATTCGGTATCCTAACCGCCGAGCTCGAGGGTACGAAGCGCCAATATGATGCTACTCTAAAAGAGCTTGCTAGCGTAAAGGACCTCCACGGCATTCACGTCGAGCTGACCAAGTACCGCGTCGCCAAGAAGGATGAGAATGTCCAGACTCTCTGGGACAAGGTCATCCATCTGCAGGAGCGCCTTCAGCGGAGCGAACACGCCGCGCAAGAAGTTCAAGCCGAGGCGCAAGAGCTCCGTGGGTGCCTCGCGCGCATGGAAGGACGGATGGGTGTCCTCGTTGATGGGTTCATGTTGGCTGAGTCAAGAGCGGCAGCAGCTGAGCTGGACGCTTGCGAGGCCGCCGCTGCTTTCAAGCAGGCTCAAGAGTCATTCGACCGTCTAAAGTGCGACACCAGTTCATCTCGACCTCCGTCCATCAATCGCAGGATTAGTTTACAATTTTCCCCTGTGAAAAATCTCTTTCGCAGGCGCTCTTCATCTTCTTGCACCTTTTCGTCGCCCTCTAAACCTGTCCCCGCGCCGCATTTCATCGTCTCGGCCACCTCCGCCAAGGCACCCTCTCACCCTGGTTTTCCAGCCAAGCATCTCCCAAGCGCAACAGTCTCTCAAGAAGGCCGTGCAAAGGCACACGCTCGGTCTAACTCTGATGTTCTGTCGCTCCGGATATCTCAACCTTCAGGCTCTTTATATTCACGCCGAAGAGGGCCCGTCCGCTCCCTTTCCGACGGGCCAAGACATCAGTTAGCTCACGACCTCGAGTTTAGTACCTCTCTGCCCGAGGGCTCGCTTCGCCCGACGTTGCACGTTCCGCACGTCCTCAGCTCGGGATCTCGTCTCTCTGGTTGTGCTGAGTCCTTGTCTTCTCACCAGCGAATTCCTAAGTCTTTCAACCTGGGTATTCCCGTGAAGGGCACCGGTCGCCCTCTCCTTTGCACCACCAAGCCTCAGATTGCATCTTGCTCCAAGGAAAAGCTATACCGTTCCAATCCTACTGCGCCGCCTATCCCTCCGCTTCCCCTACCTCCTACTCGTCGTGTTGGCCTACGGCCTCCAACCGCGGCTCCTAAGAAGATTTCTAGGATTCGCGAACTAGGACACGAAGCTCGTCGTATCAAGGCTGACCGCTCACACTCTCCCTCTCGCCCTGAGATTACTCTTAAACCACTGCCCATTGCGTGCCTTAAAGATGAAGAGAGCCCATCGGTACCTCCGCCGAAACTTCCTTCTCCGCCTCCGAGTCCCATTCGTCCGAAATGTCACCTCCGGTCGCAGTCAGGGCCGTCAGCCACTAGGAAAGCTTCAAGCTCAAATATCCGCGCATTGCGTCACGAAGCTCGCCGAATTAGAGTTGACTGTTCTCCCCCTCCCCTTCCTGACAGACCGCATCGACCGCAAATCGCTCCTTGTTCTTCAAACCATGCGACAGTCTCAGTGGCTCATGCACAGTCTGCTTTTCTTATTGCCTCCCGTCCTACGTTGGCGCGTGCCAAGGAGGAATTGGCTTTTCGTGCGCCACAGTATAGAAGCGGACCGATCAGGGCTGAGGATTCGCTGCCTCCCATCGTCTCTGAGGATGATCTGCCTTTATCCGCCCTCCGCCTTGCCAACTCAGCTCGCAATACCTCGGTTCTTGTGGAGTCAGCACCTACTCCCTTCGCCCGTTCTTTGCGTCGCGCTTCATCGGTGCCGGCAATTGTGTCAACAGAAGCCGTCAGGACTTCGGTCGTTGGTGGGCCGGGACACGAGGGTCGACGGGTCAGGTTCGCAGATGAGAAGCATTCTACAATCAAGGACCACTCGAAGTTGGAAGAGGAAACCGCACTAACGGAGTCTCTCATGGACACAAGTACGGGGAGCAGCGATTTCGATCAATTAATTGCGGATGTAGAGAAGGATATGGACGAGCTCAAAGGTTCGTTTGCTTGTGCTCTTCTTGCGGAACCGTGCTGACTATCCTCCACAACGTCGTCCAGCCTTGATTGAGTCCAGTGTCACTGCTCGGTCGGCCTCGGTTTGTTCGCGCCCGATCCGCGTCGACACGAATGACCGCCACTTGATGCCACTCGGTAAGTCCACTGGCACATTCTGCACGAGGCTTTCTTGAACAAGTCGCCGCTTGCTAGATATGAATCAGACCGGTAATAGCCTCGACTTGGCAAACGAAACCTACGACGTGCCTATCTCCGCTCTGTGCGACCTATTCCCCGCTCCTCCATCTACCGTCGGCAGGCTTCCTGATCGCACGTCGACTAGTGACATCGTGCCTGCTATGCCCTCGACGTCTGATGTGTTGCCACCATCGCCGCCCGTCATTCAGCCCCGAAGTTTCTTTGAGGATTGGAGTGACGATGGTAACGCGAGTCGCGCCCATGCAAGCACCAGGGAGAGTAGCCCGCTGACTCGGAAGTGGTCACTGTTAAAACTGAGGACGTCTATATCGAACATGCTCTCCCCTGGCAGCAGCGACACTGAGTACTCAGACTCGTCTACTACCCCTTCGTTCCCATCCGGAAGCTCCTCGCCAAGCTCGGATAGCGATGAAGGGGACTGTTCGCCTGTAACTCCTTGCGACAACCCACTGGACCCTCTCTTGTTACGTTCCACCGACAAAGTCCTCCCTCGCAACGACCCCCGCCGCTATGGCCGGGTCTTTGACATGACGGCTAGCGAGCTGACGTACCTCACCAATCTTCCATCCGTACGGGAGACAAACTGCCTTGCTCCAGACAAGTCGATCGAGTCACCGGACACTATGGTCGACGTCTCGGCGAACTGAATTCGTGTCGTCGAGGGCTTTAGCCGTCACTTCTATTGAGGGTATATTATCTTATGTCTGGGTTCAACGTCAAATGCCGCGACATCTTTTGTAGGGGTTTTTGTGATTTAATACGGGTTTCTATCACCTTGACATTTCCTCATTTATACTGTTAATTCGCGGTCTGTTACACCCTAGTTTTTAATTACATTACTCTTGTTAATCGAAAACCAAATAATCAGGATGTTCATGAGGCGCCCGCTCTTGGTCAACTTCAGCTTTTCGTAGTCAGTCCAAGGTAGCAGGAGTGGGACTTCGTGTGACGTGCCATATCAAAATCATAAGCACTACGACTCAGGGAGCACCTTGGGAGCACCAACTATTAATCCATTATCACATCCGCCTCGGTGACTGACAGGAGCTATATGTTTTCAGTGTACAGCCACTTCAAGGGGCATATGGTGTAGCTGGTTATCACATCCGCTTAGCATGGCGCTGAGTGCGGGGGGTCTCCGGTTCGAGTCCGGATTTGTCCACATTTTTACCCTCCCTCATTCGCTCGCACTACACTTAGCCTCAATGAACGTTTTGCTGGTATGCATAAGGGTATTACCACCAGGGAGCTGCAAGGACATGCGTCCGAATGGCAACCTCTCCAGCTGAAGTCGAAGGCTGAATATTTATTTCGAGTGGATGCTAGGAAGACTGCTAGAGGGCTACTGCGTACATTCCGAGAAGTAGTGGAGTGAGAGGTGATAGTATATGCCACATGAAGAGGAAAACGAAGATGAGATGAGCGGTTACAGTTCGCAAACGAGTCCTAAATCAATGAAATAGCCACAAGACGGCTATATGCGCGGCACCCAACAACAGCGAGATAACGAACGAGTCCACGAGCGTCTCGACGACTGCGACTGATAGCATGATGGCGAAGACAAGCGGATGAGAGTGCAGTGAAGTGAGGGATACCGCCTACGTGAGCACGTCGGTCACGTTAGCTGAACACTCACGCCAACGTATTACAGAAAGGCAGGATACGCACCTTCGCAGCCAAAACCACACTCTTCACCGCCTGCACGCACGGCGCCCTCCCCCGCGGCCGTGCGGACGCGGGCCCAGGCAGCATGTGCCACACCCGGCCGAGCGTCGTACGGGACGCCTCGTACGGCGTCCGCGTGCTGTGCATGACGCGCGCCATGTCGTCCCTGTACGCCGCCGCGTCCATGTCGGCGGTTTCGGGGTGTTTCTCGGTTTCAGCTGTCGGCGTCCGGGTTTCTTCTTCTTCTTCTTCTTCCTCCTCAATCCCGTCGTAGAAGCGCTCGTGATCGTCGTCGTCTCGGATGCTGCTGTCCTGCGAGACGCCGGAGGAGGCAGAGGCAGAGCCCATCGTGAGCATGCCGAGGGGCGGCGGGGACCGGCGCGGTGGTATGTGCGCGTGTGCGTGTGTGGGGCTGTGGTTGTTGGCCGAGGGAGAAGTGGTGGCGGAGACGGAGGACCGCGGGACGGGGACGAGGTAGCCTGCGGAGGAGGCGGTCGCGTCTGGTGCGACTGGGTTGAACTGCAGTGGATCGTGGCTTGTGAGTTGTGTATGCGGAGACGCGAGGAGGTGGGAGAGCGTACTCTGCCTTCTCGAATCGCGCTGAGCACGCGCTCGCACGAGGGCCGCAGGGACGGGTTCACGTTGAGCAGGCTCTCGAGGAGGATCAAGAACGCGCGGGGGAGGTGCCGTGCCTCGAACGCCGCGCCCATCGACGCCGACGAGCGGAACCTGTCGAGCGCCATAATCAAATAAGCATTTTTGCTGAACAACACGATCACAGTAAGTTAACGGTAACCACGCACCCAGGATACGCCTGCACCTCCCTCTCCAGCCTATCCATCTTATCCGCATCATCCGCCGCGCTCGCCTCGCCGTCGGTCGCGTAGCGGTACGGCAGGCGGAAGAACAGGATCTTGTGCAGGATCATGCCAAGCGACCACATGTCCGCCTTGGAGTCAATCTCGCGCAGCAGGCCTGTAGCCAGGTCCGGGAGGGACTCGGGGGACGCGTATTCCAGCCTTGTAGATGGCACGCCCGGGTTAGCTTTTGGGTTCATGTGGTGGCCCGCGAGGATGGCGAGGACTTACGTGCCGGTGTTGCCTGAGCGGGCGGGCTTAGAAGCGAGCATGTCGCGCGAGGTGCCGAAGTCGGAGAGCATCGCTCGTGGGCTACAAGGGAGGTCAGATGTGAGTGGCGCGTGAGCAGCCTACGACTGACATAGGGACACTCACATGAGCTGGCCCTCGTCCCAGGTCAACAACACATTCCCGGGCTTGAGATCCAGATGCAATATCGAGCGGTCGTGCTGAACGAACCCACTCGCATTAATCACCGTAGCCCTTCTTCGCAATTGGGATGGAAAGAGAGAGAAAAAAACGCACCAAAAACGCCAACCCCTCCGCAACATCCCTAAACAGACTCAACACCTCCTCCGCACTAAACAGATGCACCGCCTTCCACCCTCCCCCTCCCCCTCCCCCTCCCCCTCCCCCCCACACCCATCCCCACCCATCGCCCTCCGCAGCCGCTCGCGCTCCTCCGGCGGCGCGCGCTTCATCGCCCTGAACGCGCGTATGCGCGCCGAGGGCGTCTGCGGATCCGGGGCTGCGGGTGCGGACGCGGGGTCCGCGGGGTCCGCGTCCGCGTCGGTGCCGCCGTGCCCGTGCCGGAGATGCGGGAGCCGTGTGGACCGCCCGAGGCGGATGTCGATGAAGTCGTCGAGCGAGCCGCCTTCGGCCCATTGCATGAGGACGCTATGCGATGGTGTTAGTTAGGATGAGGGCGTAGCGGGCGTCGGTGGTGGTGATGGTGATGGTGATGGTTATGAGGGTGGGATGAGAGGGCGTACTGTAGAGTCGGGACGCGGGGTCCGAATGCGGAGAATTGGGCGGTTTCGAGCCAGGCGTGGTGGTATGTGATGATGTTGCGGTGACGGAGGGTTTCGAGGAGGCGGATCTATACGAGGACGCGTTAGGGTTTGTTCTCTGGTGAAGTTGGGTGTGCTCACCTCGCGAAGGATGCCTATGAGGTAGGAGTGCGATTGTCCGACGGCGATTTTCTTCACGGCGAACTGGCCTGGAGATCATGAGAGGTTAAGCGATCCTTCGCTACCAACCAGCTCGAAGAACAGCTTACCGAGAAGGTTACCGTCGAGGACGTGCTATAGACATTGGCGCTTAGCACACGCTCACGCCAGTATCAAAGGCCAAACTCACCTGACACAAGTACACACTCCCATTCGCACCCATCCCAAGCCTATACTCCTCCTTGAAAAACGCCTTGAAATACCCATCCGCCATCGCCTCCCTCGAGAACCCACGCTCGCCGCCGTCCCCTCCAGCACCTCCACCCGCGCCGCCGCTGTCACTCCTCCCACTCACACTCGGAAGCTGCGGCGGCGGGCTCGACGGGCGCGACGACGCCTGGTTCGCGATCGCGAGCAGCTGGAAATAGTTCTGCGTGCGCGAATGCCCCGCCTGCGGCGTGAGATGCCTGTGCGCCTCGCGCTGCAGCAGGCCCTCGTCGTCCTCGCTGTCCTCGTCGCCGCGCTCGAAGCCCGGCGGCAGGGGCCGGTGGCAGTACGGGCACGGCGACGCGGATGTTGTAGCTACAGGAGCGTCGATCGGGTGCCGGTGGTGGTGGTGATGGTGGTGGCGGAGGTCGCTCTTGGAGGGCTGTTTTGCGATGGAGAGGGCGTGCGAGGTGGGGTTGTACAAGACGACTTGGTTCGAGGCTTGGAAGATGGGCCGCCATTCGGGGTCGAGAGGGGCGAGTGTGACGAGGGCGTGTTGGGGAGACGGCGGTTGGCTGGATTCGTCGAACATGGATGGAGGAGGTCAAGCTGGTACGGAGAGCAATTTTTTGGTTTCTTTGCGAGGATTACGTCGAAGGTTACGTCCGAGCACGTTGTAGTTTATATTCCACTGCCTTTGTGACGTTTGAGTACATGGTGTCTGTGCACGCGGCGACCTGGACCCGATGCCGCTGTGGTAGTATACTCACCCGGTCAGCGCACTTCAGTGTCGTTAAATGTCATGAAAGTGGAGATCAAACACGAGAGGAGGGAGTAAGAGAGGGTCACAGAGGCACAGCCACGACGGACCGAGAACGCGTCGATTGAATTTGAACGCCGCCCGCATGTCCGGACGTTGCCAAAAGGGAGAAAAGGCGAACAAAATGCATGGCATACAGTAAGCCGCCTCCCTTCATCTGAGACCACACACGACCCCTCTCCCCCCGTGGTCATCAAGACTTCGCTCTTTCTACCACCGTTCTTTGTTTCGCTTTTCAGATAGCTTGCGATCACAATGCCCATCCACTACGAGCTCGAGAGGCGTCAGGACAACGGCAACGGCAATGGGGGGAACGGCGGCAACAACAACGGTAATGGAGGCAATGGAGGAAACAACGGCAATGGCGGCAGCCAGTCATCCCAAACGGGCTCACAGACAGGCTCCCAAACAGGCTCGCAGACGGGTTCGCAGACGGGCTCACAAACCGGGACCGCCTCCACCCTCTCGCACATCTCCATCCCCGAAACCGCCGCCGCCGGCCTGCTCACCATCACCCAGCCCCCACAACAGTCCACGTCCTACTACAAAATCGCGCCCTCGAACCCGATCACCTTCGCCTGGAACTTCTCCTACATCCTCGTCACCCCGCAGCACCTCACCGTCTCCGCCGTGTGCGAGAACGGGAACACGTACCCGGTCGGGCCCACCGACGGCATCATCCCGGGAACCGCGACGAGCGTCGTCTGGGACCCGTACGCGTACCAGACCGCCAACCCGAGCCTGCCGCTCGCCCAGGCCAAGTACACGCTGCACATCTGGGGCGACCAGGGTCCGTCTGCGGCGCGCGCGGCGGGGTATCTCTCGCCGAACAGCGCGCTGCAGTTCGCGCTGTATACGCCCCAGGGGTACACGCCTTTGACGAGCGGTACGTGCATAAACTTGTTCGGTAGAGGTTGGGCTAAGTATAGATGGATGATCATCGATTCTTTGCCCAATTAGGCTGGTCGTGTCCGGGTTGTTCTGGCGCTATCCCCGCCTTCGCTGCCAACCCCGCTTTCTCGGGCCTGCTCATCACGCTGGTGGTCATGTTCCTCTCTGGTGTGACTATCATGCGTCGTATCTGAAGGGTGCAGGGAAGAATATGGACTTTAGCGCCGAAAGGGGGGTCGCTGTTAGGACGTTCGCTTACTTCTTTTCTCTTCGTCACTTCTTCATGTTGGACCTTTTTTTGGTGGAAACGATCGGCGGTTAGTCACGGCAAGTAGGCGTGCATGCATGTACATAGTTACGAATGGACTGCGAACTTTCCGAGGATTCTTTGATGCGTCGATGCGTAGTAGTCTTTCTACCTCTGTCTACCTTACTCTCTGGGTGGTGGAGCTTGAGTTTACGATTAGTTTGTCTTCGACGCATTTAGTACGTACTGCATACGTGCTTCGCCTTCATCCGAACTACTTTCTCTCTATACTTGTTGGCTCAGGGGCCTTGCCTATGGGTCTCGATAATAATCATTACGCGCTTATGTAGATAGCTGGAGTACATGTGGCATTGCTTGACTGACGGAGTATGGGTGGTGTGGATATGCAGGTAGTGCTCGGAGCTGGTCCACGGCTGTGGTTCATAGTAATTTCAAGGTAATTTTGATCAAGTTATTTGAATCAGCTCACAGTATTTGAACGTTCGTGGCGATTTTAAGGTAATGTGTGTGCGTTATCATGAATTATTTCCTATGCTTATCCGCGAGTCTCGATCATCTACGTACACTATTGGTGTTGTACTACAAGTTTACGATCGTACTTAAGCCGGTCTCTTGATCACCATTTTCCTGTGTACCAAACTCACTGAGGTAGATGTGTACGGAATTGACACAATTGTTTAGGCCAAATAGTGTACACAGTCCACACGAACATAAAACAGCTATACAAGTTGGACCGCAACGTTCGTTCTGCAAAGATGCTAGGATATTTATACAGGGCGAGAACTTATTTTCGTAAAGACATGGCACCGCGGTGTGGTCACCGTGTTGAGGAAGACGGCTGCAGATGCGATTCTTGTTGGCCGTGTGGCGCCAAGAGGCCCCTTAAGCTTACAAGTGGGGTATTTGGTCTGCGGTGAGTCGTTGGTGCAAGTACTGGTGACTCGACATTGATTTGTCTTGGGGACCATCCTCCTTGTCGATTGCACAAGGTGCGCGTGATCCGTCGTATCCTCGGCCTCGAGGACATCGAGGCATGCATGTTGAGTGCTTGGTTAGTTCGTACTCGGAGTTACATAGGAGAGGCATCAGTATGATGAGCTGGATAGAAATCCGGGTGAACGCGTGAACACTGTGATTTCGCATATCTCGCAGCGTCCTCTGTGCTCCAAGATAAATACATACAATCTTCCTACCGTATGAGGCGCTTCCCTTCTCGCCCATGGCCCCAGATCTTCTGTCTCTTGAAAATGGAGTGCATGTTCCGACAGACGTTGTAAAACTTTTTGAGGCCGCACCGAGACGAAACGGCAGCGATCCCTCGTACGCAAGTGATGGCCGGCGGGAGGATCAAAATGATCAAGGCTGCATTAGTGAGCAATGCGTCCGAGGTGGCGACAACAGTGTTGGATTTCATTAGCTCCTCATAAGCTTCTTTGCAAGGTTACCCAAGGTTACCAACTGATGTCGACGGTGGGTTGGGCTGTGCGTGGTACGGGTTATCGCCGCAAGTGCCGTGTCGAATCGGGGGTTAGGCTCTGGCGTTGTGGGTCCTATCGCTTAATGTAAGGTGTGTTGCCCCAAGTTCAAGACCGATATGTTCTGAACGGCTCTGAACGTGCTGCCGTGATAAAAAGGAGAAAAAGTACGGTTGAAAGGAGCAAAGCCCCTGAGTGATGTGCTGATCCGGGGTAATATGGCGTCAAGGGCCGGAGTGGTTACCAAGTTGGGTGACGTGCCGGTTGATTGATCTGGTGATCGTCACGATTCTCCTCCTCATTATTGTTGTCCCTCTGACGCATCAGTATACTTGCTAGCCCCAATCATTGTCTCTGATCGCTTTCTTTTTTTTCCACCATGTCAATCAATAACTGACTGATGCCGTGGCGAGCTCAAAGACATGACAATAGCCCACTACCGCTAACCATCACCCACCTGCACACCGTCACTTTAGCCCAGACAGGACGTGCCACTTCAACTGTTCGTCGTGACGGACCCAAGTGTTATTTGACGTACCCCATCGATCCAGCCGATTCAGGCGGGCCAGCTGCTGCGCTGGTGTGCTTCTTGCGTTTTGCGGGACACGAGCTCTCGCTTTCTGGCTTGTCTTCGACACACCACCACCCACTGCAGCCGTCTACGACAACCTTGGAGTCGGACTGCTTCCAGTCCCTTGCTCGGGTCTCCACTCTCCTCGGGTGGTATGTTGTCTTGATTTCCTCCTACACACGGCTTCCAAACTGCTAGCCCCCCTCTCCGACGCATTTTTACACCTCATCGTCCATAAGAAGAAGCAACCCTCCAATCGGAGCGAACATCAAGTAGCATCCAGTGACCAGCCATGATTCCCTCCGTCTCGCACAAGTCGCAGTTCAGTGCCCTTCCGCCCGAGAAGGCTAGGGCCATGGAGCGCCTTGTCAAGGATCACCAGATGATCAAGAAGCGCACGAAGCGCACATTCCATATGTTCCCAAAGGGCAACATGGAAGTCAAGGCGGCGAGTGCTGATGATATAACGGCTGTGGGCAGTACGTCTCCTTTTCTTTCCCCTCTCCTTTGCCCGCCATCGTCCTTAGAGCCTTGATATCATATGTTAACCGCTTCCTTCACGTTTCTTCTGCCTATAGCCTCCGGTGCTCGCGATTTCAACCACCTCAATGCCGTCTCTGAAGTCAACGACCTCGCCGTTCCCCGTTCTCGAAAACCCGCCACGTCAATAACGTCCGCCACACCCTCAGCCTCCACGCCATATCCCACGTCTGCCACCTCCGCAAACAACACCTCCGCCCCAGGCTCCGCCAATACCGAGAAATCCGGTAGCGGCTCGTCCACATCCATATCCAACGCATACGGCGGGCTCTCCGTCCCGCAGACGCCCAGCGTGCAGGTCCGCTCGATGAAGGAGTCGATCTCGCAGCTCGGTCTCGGCGGCCAGCAGAACGGGGGCCACCAGCCACTCGCGCTCGCGGGCGGGAACGCGCTCAAGGCGCGCCCGGACCTGTTTGGCTATGGCGTGCCCACGTTTGGCGGGAGCCCGAGCTCGAGCACTAGCAATCTGCTGAGCGTCGGTAGCGGGAGCCGTGTGGCTAGTGCTGCGAGTTCGACGGAGAGTCTGCCTTTGCGGCCGCTTCCGCATCCTCCGCCGTCGGGGTCGTCGAAGCACGGTGCGGGCGCGACGCGGGTTCCGGATGGGTATCTTCAAGTGGGCCCGGGGCCTGGTACGCTCAAGGTGTCGACGAGCGAGCCTGTTGTTCCGAGGACGAGGGCTGTTACGCTCGAGGGCAGGACAGAGCTGAGGGAGCTCGGGCACGCGATGGAATGGAAGGAAGATAGGGAGAGGGCGCAGGCTTTGGCTGCGGTGTATGCGCGTGCGCATGCTCACACTCATGGAGCTTCGCCGCATGGGCCACGGAAGCAGCTGACGCTGCATACTTTCCCGTCCGTGCAATCTATCCCTGAGGAGAAGGAAAAGCAGCAGCAACGAGAGCGTGCGCAGGAGGGAGAGCCCAAGGCTGCGTCGAGGAGCACCACCGTCAGTAACAGCAGCGACAGCCCACCAGCACCACGGGCCTGCAAGCCAAAAGAGCGCAAGGTGCTGCCGCCCCTCCTCATTCCGCCACATCCATCGCGCAGGGACATCATTTTGTGCTCCCCTGAGCCCCTATCACAGCCACAGCCACCGCGACGTCAGCGGGAGGGGTCGCCGCGCCCCGACGACGCGCATCCCGACCCTAGCTTGATCGTTGACGTGTCCCCGTCTACCTTAAAACGGCGCTCCACCCGCAGCCGCACCAACTCAGCACCACTTCTGCCGTCCCCCTCGACGGACCAGCGCACCCACCGGAGGCCAGGTACCGCGCAGACGAGTTTATCGCCCACGACGCGTGGGCCTGTATCACAGTCGCTGTCGCAGGTTCGCTCATCGACGCACGCGCAGACGCATAGGAAGGCTACGAGCAAGTCTGGTGCAGATATGGCTGCGCATGTTTCTTCTGTTCTCCTCACTGTCGAGCCGCCCACCGCCGTGCGGCCTAAAGAGCCTTCTGTGGGCGGCTCCGAGCGCGGTACCGCCGCGACGCCGAACACTCAGCCGCCCGCCTCGCCGTGGAGCCCCGCCCACGGAACCGAATATGTCGCCGCGGGGGCGTCCTCGAGCTCGAGCTCGGGCAGCCGGCCGTACAGCCTGTCCAAGCAGCGGTACGTGCGCCCCGCGACGTCGCACAGCGCTGGCAGCGTCCCGCCCGTGCCCGCCGTACCACATGGCGCGCCCCCGAGCGAGGAGACGATCCGGGAGATGAACGAGGCGGCGGCGGTGCGCATGCGGCGGCTGAGCGAGGTGTCGGTGGTCGATGTGATGATGGCGATGGAGCCTGCGTATCGGCAGAGTGTCGAGCCGCCGATGGGGCTGTCGCCTGCGGCGGTTAGGGCGGCGCAGAGGGCGCAGGTGCAGGTGCAGGTGCAGGCTCAGGCGCAGGCGTCGCAGGTGCCGAGTTCGCCTGTGGTTGAAAGAGATAATGTGGAGCTGGAGCGAGAGAGGCGGGAGAAGGAGAGGAAGGAGAAGGAGAGGCGGGTCAGAGAGGCGAGGGAGAGGGAAAAGAGGCATAAAGAAAAAGAGGCGAAGATCGGGAGCGATGGTGGCAGCAGCCACAAGACCTCGAGCGACGCCGGGAGCGGTGTCGTCCGCATCGACGGCGGGGAAGACTCCGACGCTGGCTCCTTGGTCGTGGAGAAGAAAGACGCGTGGCCGTGGGCGCCGCCCGATGCATGGGCGGGTCCGCAAGCCGCTAGCACCAACGCCAACGCTGGCTCTAACACGAGTCTTCCGTTGGCGGGCAAGCCACTCACCAAGTCACCCTCGCCCGCCACGTCGACCCGGTCCGGCACGTCCGCCAACGCCGCGGCCACCACTACCACCACGTCGTCGTCGGGCAAGTCCATCTTCGGACGCTCGCGCGGGCACAGCGTGAGCGGAGACACCGCGAACGTCGAAAAGCGGGGCGCGCACGCGGGGACGTGGATTCCCCCGTGGGCGAGCTCGAGCTCGGGTTCGAAGACGGCGGCGAGTGGGTATAGGAAGGGCTCGGAGCCGTTCTTGGAGGAGGGTTTGAAGGCTGCTGCTGCGGAGGCGTTTAAGAAGGCGGAGGTGGCTAAGAAAATCGAGGCGGCTAAGAAGGTAGAGGCGGCTAAGAAGGCTGAAGCGTCCAAGAAGGCCAAGGCCGCGCAAGACGAGTATTCGGTCAGGGTGCAGCGGCACGAGGGCGACAAGGGGGAGGAGACGCGGATGGACGATGTGTTGCCCAAGTTGCGGGCGCTCCGACTCAAGTAAAACGCGGTCTCACTCAAGCTGCTGTCGTTGTCTCCTCCTTGTGTTTGTCATCGAAAAATCGCTCACCGGTCCTTACGTCGCACGCCCATATCCGTCCTTGCATTACGCTCGCTACCTGCTACTTGCTTTCTCGTTTCCTTTCCGCTTTTAGCTTCCATTATTTGCTGTTGGCGAACGTCGGCTGCATCTCACTCGCCTACAACTCCAGCCACTTATATCCTTAGACTTCTTCCCGTTCTTTCACTGATCCCCGTCATATCTCACGCTCGCTTTCGCTTTGTCGCCCCTATACCCTGCGCGCGTCTAGCATATCGCCCCAGGTAATCCAGTCGTACCAAGTTTATATCCTGGCTCTCCTCTCCGTTTATTTGCCCATACATACCCTTGTTTCTTAACATTGTTCTGCATGTCTACATTGACGCACGATATCCAAAGATCCTCTACATGCAAGTTCATATTATTATGTGTGTAGGATCCGCGACGCTCCTTATTAGCTGCCCACCGAAGCTGTGTACTATACAGATTAATGCTCAGTAATTTATCGTGAACCATGCGGCCGGCTCAGCTTTCTTCCTTCCTCTGCATTCAAGTTCCCAGTCGCCCACAAACAAGGCGCTAGTGAGCAGCATGACAGGCCGTGGTGCCTTTGATGTCCGGGATCCCCTCTGCTGGAAATGCTGAGCGTCTACTGCATGTACAATGTGGATCCGCAGTTTGAAACGCCGGACGGGAGCAAACTTGGGTGGACCAGGGCCTGAAAGAAGCTTGGAGCTTGGAGGCCCGCGACGCCACTCGATGCCTCCGGGACTGCCTCTGCGAGTTTGATATCCGGAGGATCGAGTATGGGCGCTAAGCTGTAAGTTATGACATGCGCAGCTGAACTCTGTTTTATGGCCTAGGCTGAGTACTGAGCTCAGACGACGATTCAGAAAGCTTATCTGGCCAGACGATTGGGACGCCACTTACGCGGGAGAGGCCGGCTTTCAATTGGGCGTACGGCGGGCGCTAGCTGTAGATGCTGTGAGCAGAAAACAAAGGGTGGATTTCGTATTCTATTCAGCAGTCTTGTTCTTTGTTGTGTGTGCTGTGCGGCACCAGGGGCCGATGGATTTAGATTTGCTTCCGAGATGACCGATAGGGGTAGAGTTAGCGCACGGTTGATGCAATGTTTTGCCGTTAACAAACGAACAAGAAGGCTGGTACTATCAGCAAGTTGATGGTCATCAACCGTTTGTTTCAGAACGTGGAAGGATAAGTCCGCATTTGTTATCGCCTGCCCACAGCTTGCGAACCCTTGTGCGAAGTTCAGAACGGGGAGCGCGGTGCACAGTCGGAAATATCCGCCCCGTTCGGCCGGCATAGCTTAGTCATCTCCGCCGCTCAAGGCCGTCGTTGATGCGGCTGCGTCTTGTTCGTCGCCGTCATCGTTGGCGTGGTCAATCCAGCTCTTCTCCCCACAAAGCCGCCCCAGGACACTGTGAGTTTGTGGGAGCTATACAGCAGATGGTGCGCGAGTTCCCGGACGTCCTACTAAGGTCAAGGGACTATCCAAACGTCAGAAAGAGGATAGATGACGGTACGCGTTCTCCATTCCTCGTCGGGCTATCCGGCACTTTGGGCTGCTGCACAAGGCCCCCCTTCCTTCTAGACGTAGGAATTGCTCTCATGATTGTCATCCACCATGCTGAACGTCACTTCAATTAGGTGCTCCTTGTTTCCAATCGTTGTTATCTCGACATGATCATCCTGTGCCGCGGTGTACAAGTACTCATCCGCTCACTCGTCCCCGCCTTCTGAGCCCCTCTCTGCCTATTCCCCGTTGCCTCCTCTCGCATCCATTTCGCTTGCTTTTGCTCATTCTCTTGGTCTCCATCGTTCTCCAGAACCATGTTGGTCGCGTACGCCACTCTCCGAGTCCGAGGCTGTGAACCGGTGCTGCTGTGCGAGCGCCTTTTCTCCGCCCGGTCACTGTCGTCACTGCATATTCAAACAGAGCACGCACCGTTCTCCAGTCGTTCACTGCTCGTCTGCCTCGCCTCCGAGCCACTAACGTTCCGCGGCCCCGGTACTGTATCAGGCACCACTCCGGCGAGTTTGTTGGCAGGAGCACATGGCAGTGATCGTCCGCTCGGACGAGACCCCCCTCCTCCGTCCCTCGTTCAATATTCACCGTTCAGGGGTGGTCCCCTCCTTTTGGGACCGCCTTCCTAACGGAAGCTTCTGTGTGCGATCGGTGTACGTTATACGCACTGGAAGTTGTTGTGGCACTCAATTTTCGCCTTTGATGTGCGTTAAGCTTCTAAATTAGAGCCAATGAGCACATCCGAGGTCTCGAGAGCAGAGGCGGTGACGCAACAGGCAGACCTTTAAAAGCGGGCACGCGGTGCTTCACCAGTCCTCCACCACACATCATCCCCGCCGCCTCCTCCTCCTTCCGCCCCCCAACGACTCTGCATGAACACCGTCCCTGCGCATACCCCTCCCCAGTACGAGCTCGAGGTTCGAGTTCCGCGCGTCGCCGTTTGACATGGCCTTCTACTAGGTACACCAGATCGTCTCCGAAGACGTCCCCCGCCAGAAATTCCTCCAACGGGAGCTCGTCGTCCACCACAGCTTCCGCCGAGCTCGCACTGCAACGCCAGTACATGCGCGAACATTGGCAATCGGGGTCAGGTGGCGTCCACGATGGCGGGCCGATCTCCCTGCAACCCGTCGATGCGATGTACTCGCGCCCTGCCACATCGGGCAATCTCCCGGACGCGATGAATTCCTCGCCTGGGGCGGTGAGTTCATTCCAGCGGTTTGCGGTCTAGTATTTGATCTGACGGCCTCTCAATAGTATCCCGCTTTCGGCGACATTGGGCAGGAAAGGGAGGGGTACTATCAACCATCATATCCAGTACGGAGTTCCGAATGGATTCTCCCATAGTACGACAGCTGGCTGACTTTTTGGTTTTTGTACTTCCCACTAGCCAAACGCTCCTTTACCTCCTACAACCCCTATCCGAGTCGGGAACCAACGACTTCCATACGACCCTTACGGCTCGCATCACACCCAACAACCACACCAACAAACGCATCAATACCCGCCTACAGCATCGAGCAGTCGCCTCCCGCTGGCCGTGAACCCGACGCCGAACATGACCAACATACCCCATCAGTCTCAGTCTCCGGTCGGTTCCTCATCTTCCCTTGTCCCATTCCACGAGCGCTTCATGACATACGACCAACAGCGCTTCGATCCCCTTTACAAAGTCAGCAACCACAGGAACGCGCCAAACGCCGCTGTCGTCGCGCCTAGCCCTCCCGCCGTCTTTGTTCCTGGTGCTGGTGTTAGTGCTGGCGCCGGCGCAAGCACTTCACACAGCCACACAGGCTGGCCCGCCCCCGTTGCTGCGCCACAGGGCGCGTATCCTCACCACCCTCAGCAACAGCAACAACAACAGGTGCCGATGGGCTACGCCCAGAGCAGCAGCGCGTATCCACAGGGACACCACGGACAGCAGCAGCAGCAGTACGGCCAAGGGTACTCGCAATGGCAAGGCCAGGGTCTTGGCCACGTCCGCAGTGGATCGTCGTCATCGTCAAACCAGTCGGCGGCGTCGCCGCAGAGCTTTGTGTCGCACAGCCTCAGCCCTGTATCGCCTGGTCCTAGCGCGTACCATGGGTTCCCGTCGACTCAGAACCAGAACCAGAACCAGAATCGGAATCGGGGTCACAGTCGGGCGACGCAGTTCAAGGAGGTGCCCCAGCGCGACTACGAGAAGCGGGGCGGGATCTTCAAGGAGGCGCCGCAGCCGTCGATCGTGTTCCGCGAGGTCGGCGCTGGCGCGGGCGTTGCGGGGGTGAGGCTGGCGAAGCTTGAGAATCTGGCTGAGCCGGATGAGGAGGTGACGGGGGGGATGAAGACGAATCAGACGATGCGTGTTAATGTGAGCGTTTCTCCCCTATTCTGTTTTTTTTTTGGTTTTATTATGTGTTATTGGTGCGCGTATGCTGACGCCTGTGTGTTTTGTGTGTGTAGTGGCCCGGCTACGACAAGTGGGAGTCTCAGCTGCCCGGTCGGGACGACAGGTCGCCGAAGCGGCCCTTGTCGCGCCGTAAGCTCGCACGGAAGATTGCGCATAAGATGAGCGAGTTAATCAAGGTGGGTATCGGTGACATAGGCATCAGTGTTTCTTTTACTGACTACTACGCTCACCCTTTGCAGGCGCACGAGAACCAGCGCTGTTCGGAACAATATTTGCGCTGGAAGGTCGGCGGGCACGACGGGCTCAGGCTGGAAGACCTGTACCTCGTCGAGCTGCAGCATATTTCGCAGGGCAGCTGGCGTCCTGTGATTCATGTTCGTGCGGATCGTGTGGCTTGAGCGTCTAATGGCGCCCGCATACACCCAGGGTCTTGCGACTTATACTATCTTTGATCTCTTTTTCGTTTCTGTTTTCGTTTCGTTTATGAATTTCGCAGGGTGCTGATATCTATTTCCTTTGAGTGGCTTCTGGCCGCTTACGTCTGTCTTTGATGTTTACGACCGCTTGTCTGCATAATTTATTTCCGCAGGCTCAAGTTTCATGTTTTGGCTCCCGTTTCGTACATCATCATCAACACTATAACCATAATAACTGCATCATTATCACGTTCATCTCTGGCTACGACTCCTGACCGTTCTGATTTATTGTTCATAATATTGTCTGCCTCTTCGTTTATGATTTACTTATACCGGTTTCATCTACTTTTATAGTTACTAGCATTGTCAGAGTTTCTTTGCACGTCTCGTTATATCTTACAAACACACATGGAATAAATGGATTTTAAACCCCAGTTTTACTGCTGCGCGCGACTGGAGAAGCAACAAAACAATTATGGCTGCTCACTCGCCACGGCAGGTGGAGTAAGCGCCCAACACCACGTGATGACAAGTTCCGTGGTTCCCGGAGCAGGTTTTCGCAGACGCGCAGACGCGCGTGGTCTTGATCACTCTCACCTCCATCCTCCCCTCCATCTCGATGCGGATATCCATTAAGCAGTGAGTTCTCAAGCCAATAGGTGAGTATGCTAGACATAGCCTCAATCATGAAGCTAATCTTCCGCCCCTAATTCAATCCAAACCGGGCTGTTGTAGATCTCGACTAAACATTTGTGCTAACCCAACGCTCCATCGTTCCCCGATCATCCCTCCACGCGGCCATGGCGCAAGACAAGCACCCGTCCCGAGCCTCCGAAAACATGCGTCTTCCTTCTCTGAGGTTCCATCTCGCCTCCCCTCTGCCCTCTGGCGCCCTGTTTGGCCCGCGGCTGGGCACCCTGACGCTGCACAGGTATGATGGCGCCGGCAGAAACACGAACGCGAACACGGATCCAGCAGACAGTGATGGATCGGCGAATGCTGCGGAAGAAGAAGGTACACAGATTGAGCTGCCTACACCCGGATTCTTGGTGTGCACGTCGCGGGGCGTCGTGCCTCATCTGTCGCGCGACCACTGCAATGCGGCGTCGGCGGTGCACTGGGTCCATGTTCCTTTCGAGTCCTTGTGAGTTCTGTTCTCTGAACATTGTATTCTTGTTGTTTCCGGCTTTGTGGTTTCCGGACGCCACGCGACACCTTGGCGACACCTTACCATATCCACCTTCGCGACATGTCGTCGTCGTCGATGTCATCGCCTGCACCGCATCTACTTCTCTGGCTCTAGTGTCTCGACGAGGACTTATTGACCAATCCACCCAGTTTAGATAACTCGCCACCGGTACCTACGCTGCAGGGCGGTGACACGCCGCTGCATTCCTTCTTGGGCTTTGATAAGGCCAAGCACGTCGTCTCGATGTCGATACGGGATCCGCACGATGTGCGCGAGATGCCGCCTAATGGCCCGAAACATCTCACAGCCAAGTGCGTCAGAGGCGTGCGCAAGGTTTGTGCCTGCTCACTTCGTCACTTTCCTTTTCCCCTGCCTCCCTTCATTTCACTTCGCAAGCGCCCGTTTACAGGCGCCCATAAAAATCATTTTTGAGTTTTCGATGTGACGTGATCGTCCTAAACGGAGGTTGATTTTCCCCGTCGCTTATATGTGATTGTACACAGGTTACGCTAGATGACTGGCGCAGGTACACCAGCGCCACGCGACCTGACATCGTGTTCGCTCTGAGCGACACGCCGTTCACACCGCCTCCTTACTCGCAGAAGCGCCTCACGAAGAGTATCGAGCGTAGTGCTGAGTGGCTTGCGGATCTTCTCCGCCCCGGGTCGACGGCAACACAGCCCCAGGACTCGCAAAGCACGCACCCGTTGAATGTGTTCGTGAATATGGCGGGTGGACACGCTATCGCAGCGCGCGAGGCGTTCGCGCACGGGCTCGTGGAGCGTCTCTACGGGAAAGACGCGGAGGTGGTGAAGCCCCTGAAACGACTCGACGATGGCGTGTGTGGGTATGCGTTCGATCTCGCCCCGCTCCGGCACGCTGCACCTCTCCCAGTTGCGGCCATGGCACCTGATGCAGCTGAAAACGACGAGGTCTCGAAAGCGCTCGACGAAGTCACAGACAAACTTGGTGCAACGTCCCTGATCACAGAAAACGCAGTAGCAGCTCTCAAAGAAGCGCCAACACCCAATCCACTGCCCTCTTCCGCAACGCAAGTTATTCCCCCTCAATCGAACGACGTCAGCCACCATTCCTCGCGTGCAGAAACGTCCTTGCACGAGCTGCTCCGCGCCTCGCTCGAGCCCCTCCTGCCTCAAAAGCCACGCCTCGCGACGGGCTCACAGCTCCCTCACGAGGTGCTCGCCCTGATCATCGACGTCGGGATCGACGTCTTCGACGCCACCTGGGCGGTGCAGGCTGCCGGGTGGGGCGTCGCCCTCGATTTCAAGTTCCCCGTGCCCACGTCTGCGCCCCCACATTCCCAGCCTCAAACCCACGATCACGATCACGATTTCAACCGAGATCAGTCTATGCTGTCCCTGGGCGGTGGGCTCGTGCGAGAAGATGGGAAGCGTGATATCGGGCATGATCTGTACGCGGACCGGTACGCGAACGATTTCTCGAGGTTTGCGGATTGTTTTGCTGCCAGGTGCGATTCTACAAATACGAAGAATATCGTCGCCGCCGTCGACTTGGCGGGAGAAGAGACGCAACCAACTTGTCCGTGCATCGCGTGCTCGCCGCGCACGCCAAGGAGGCATACTATACATAGTAAGGTCGATTTTCATTCTTACCCTGCCGCAAGCGAGGGCGGCGGCGAGGAGAATGCGGAGTCCAAGAGACACGAGGAGTATAGACCGCCGTTCACACGTGCGTATCTACACCACCTGCTGCACACACACGAGATGTCAGCGCACACGGTGCTTGTTGCACACAATCTCGCGGTGCTCGATGCATTCTTCGCTGGCATCAGAAGCGTTCTTGGATGCGGAGGCAGGGCTGGTGAACAGGTGGATGGTGATGATCACGGTCGAAGCAGTGAGGCCTTCGAGGAGACCGCTGATCGCTTCTGGCAAGAGGTGCGGAGGTTCACGGAAGTGTACAGCGGGAGCATGGCGCTGTTCGAGGAGGCGAGGAGTCATTGGGGTTCTGTCGATTATGCCCGTGGGAAGGGGCGGTTGACGAGGGAGAGGGAGGTGCAGTCTACACCTGGATCGGATATTGCATAGTCGGGATAGAAAATATTAAAGGGCGCTTGCGATTCTGTAGTTGCAAATCCCCTAGCAACAGCTGGTGGGAGAGTGGCCGAGCTGGTCAAGAGCACATTGACCTATGGTAGAATGCTTCTAGATACTGGTCTCCCGTTTTCGCACAACCATCTTCACTTGGGCATAATCATCTTCACTTTGTACGCAACCATCGTCGTTTTGTACAAGACCACCTTCATCTTTTGACAAATGATCATCAGAAAGTCTATGTCTGCCATGGAAGTTTCCATGTAATCTGGCACCTCCCATCCTGACAGTGGGAGACGTCGAGGTGACCATCATTCTAGCTGCATTTTTTCGTCAGAGTCTTGTTCCCTCGTGGTTGATGACTCTAAGAGATCCGGGGATATTGGATTGAAACGATGAGATGGTTGAGCAGATGTCATCATGATTGAGGCTGAGACAGAAACACAAAACATCTTCTTCTCTAACATATGAAACCGTTCAAAAATAGTGTCACACCGCACTGCGGGCTCAGGCATAAAAGGCCAGCGAACGCACTTGCTGATGGAAACCAACTCCGAGTCCATAACAAGGACAGACACTCAATATGCCTTTCATCTCGAATTCCCCGGCTTCAATATTAATACCTTATCTTAACAATTTTCATGGAAATAGCTACCTAGCTGGTGAGCAAGTGTAAACAACTATAATCATTAAATGCTCCTGATGAAGTGGATTTAATGCCGTAGTGGCCGTTTTTGCTGTGTCCATTTACAACTACGGCAAGTCAAAATATGCCACATTGACCTTTTTCCATAAAATTAAAATTGTGATACCCTTCAAACAGCGCTTGACCTAGATCAAGAGGTGAGGCTGAGATTCTCTATATAGCGCGAGAACTGTCTTTAAAAATGAAATGCATTAGATATCGCTGATATGGGTGTGTATTTGTTTTTCTTTGATGCTGCAGAATAATAATAATGATGTTTGTCGTCTTGGTTTCTTAGCAATACCGAAAATCCACCATGTCATACTGTTACCTTTTTGTGAGTGGCCTACACGTTCTTAATGACCCATCAGAAATAATTGAGATCTTCAAGCTTCGCTACGTTGGATTATTAGTCCCTCTGTAAGCCATGATACAAGCCCCATCTACTTCATACACATTGATTATTTGTTCATCCATCAGAATCTGGACTAGTTCGTATCTTTATATCCGTGATTCTGCACGACTCGGAGGCATTGACATCTCTGCAGTTTTTACGATCCCCATCTTACTATCAGATAAAGTAAGCAGGCAGTTCAAGTATAATTGCATGAATATCTATGGATGCACCTTTTATAGACGTCAGTATGCGCACGGTCTTCTCATGCTTGACCGTTATGTTGAACTGCCCGATGGCAAATCCGTTTTTACAGGTGTAAGTCAGATTCTCTTTGACGTGTGCTTGGTTATCATGTGCACAAGGTACTATCATGGATATCTTATATGGGTATGTTCTCCCAGTTGTGTTGATCATGGTCATTCAGGGTAACTTCAGGAATTAATTTTTGCTCATTAAGCTGATGCAAGGATTACAGGAGTCATGTCTGCCCGAGTTTGTGCGCTCTACGAAAACTCGAAAAAAGTAGTTGTCTCTCTCTGCGGCGCTTTCATTGCTGTGCAGCTGTTATATACTTCAACTGCTGTCTTAGCACTTTTTCCGCCTTACACTTATACTGGTGCGTACCCCAGTTATGCCCGGTTTTTCCTTTGAAGAATATTTGCCTTGATCAGTGCAAGAAGGAGTAATACTTGGTATCCGGGAATGTGTTTCCTTATCTCCCCCCAATTCCTCATTTTGGATTTTCTATGCCATCGGCAATGCATTCATCTGCGTATATGAGCTTCTGCTCATTGCAATGCTCGTCCACCGTTCAGTGGTGCACTTGAGAGAACACGGAAGATCCGGCTCCCCTCCAAAACTGAAAGGATTAATGAAGCTGCTGATGGGTCAAGGTTTACTGTACTTTGTATGGTAAGCGTGTGTCTTCATTCCCTATGCTGATATACAGTAAAACTATTTGTTTAGGGTGTTCGCATATGAGGCTCTGTGCACAATAAGTGTCATACCACTGATATACCCTTGGGTAAGCTCCACGAAGATGACTTCGTATTCCGTGGAGATGTCACTAAGCAATCCTACAATAGGGTTCTAGTGAAGCGGCGAATATTTCTAATGCTCTCAGTTCGGCCCTCAGCACTGGACTTCCTTGTGTTTTAGGGCCTTGGCTAATCCTCTCTATTCGACAAAATCATCAGACTCATATCAATGGAGATACTAGCGTCGCTAGAGATACAGTTAGCACTGTGGCATTTGCAGGGCCAGTATCAGTTCTCAGCGAGCCAGGGGCGTCAACAAATGGGCCTCCTGTTCGGGAGCACACTGGCGGGGATCAAGCTTGTTGAAACGTTGACGCGGACGAGCCTGGATATCACTGTCAACGCTCTAACACACATTAGTAATATGGTCAGTCTTTTAATTCTCGTCTCTATTTAGTTCCCTTGGGCTCTTCAAACCTATTTAATTGGTAGATCCTTGCTCAGAATGTTATAACCGTCTTTTCTGTTTATATTTAACTATTCGTTGTAAGAGTATTTTAGACCTCTTGTCAAACCCTTGTCCCGTGTCCCGCCTTACTGTATTCACTTTATTGCTGTAATAAACGTTCCACCCTCGAATTTTCGAGTGCTATGTTGCCTTGTAATCTTAGGGATATTGCTACCAGTAATCCATGTTCCCCTCTGAAAGCGTCAGCCTCGTTTGCATTTGTTTCATCCTGGTCGTCTTGTACACGTCTGGTTTTGCAGCCTTTCGGTCGCCAACCAAAAGTCAGGGGCAATGCCCAAAATAGCAAGTTCACATTGTTCCTCGCCCTTTCCTTCCCGCTCCCTCCGCCAACCACACCGCGTATCCCGGAGGGGCACTTGACACAGGTCGGCGCATGCCAGATAGCCTCTGCTCGTAGAAAAAAGCGATGAAGCTGAACCATGTTTCTCTGGTATCGTCGTGTTCTCGCATCAAGACCGCGCCTCTGCATCCACGGCTAGGCAACGCTGTCAGATGCTTTCACTCCTCAACACGCTGCTCCACTTCGAGGGACTATTACCAGGACCTTGAGGTATCACCGGACGCGACGAAGGTGGAGATCAAGGTGCGGTGTTTGCCTGCGCGTACTTGTCGCTCGGACTGTGGGCTGACAGCAATATGATGTCACCAGGCTAAGTTCTATGAGGTGAGCGCGTCTCCGCGTTCCGAACACATCGAGACATGCCAATAGCCGACTCACGCACCTCTCACTCACCGTGTAGCTGAGCAAGAAGTATCACCCTGACGTGGCAAAGGATGACAAGTCGCGAGACAAGTTTGTTTTGGTGAATCAGGCGTACGGGGAGCTGATGAACGACGCGAAGAGGTGTGCTGTCTTTGTCCTGTGTCCATTCCTCTCCACCCTTCTTTCTTTCTCTGTTCTGTCAGTCATGCATTTGGAGACATGCAGGTCAACTGACACCACCCCTATACATTAGATCAGAGTTCGACAGCAGACTACGCGCCCGACAATCACACAGCCAGCCCGAACCCTCCTTCGTACGCACACGATCCACGTCCTTCTCCAACCGCTGGCGCACGACCCCTCCTCCCTCACAAGGCCCTCGGTACCCGTACACGCCCCCGTACGCGCGCGCACAGCAGGCGTACGAGCAGCGTCAACGCCAACAACAGCACGACGGCACGCACACTGGCCATGGCCATGGCCACGACCCACACCCGGGACAGGGGCAGCAGCAGCACCACAGACCACACGACCACGTCTTCGAGACGCACCGGATGCACAAGTACCAGTACTACCGCCCGCCGCCGGGACAGACAACAGCGGGAAGCTACACCTGGTCGGCACACGACCCGTTCTCGAGCCCGTGGGTGCAGCGCGCGACGGGGAAGCGCGCCGCCGGAGCTGAAAGTGGAAGTGCAAGTGGAAGTGGAAGTCACGGTGGGGCGAGCGGTGCCAGCGGTGACGTGCCCCCCGGCCCTGGGTCAGGTAGACCGTACGGGCACAATCCGTACGCGAACGACCCACCAGGCGGCGGTGGGACTGGTGCCACACCCAGGGGATCGAGCGCACGAGCACAGCAGCAGTCGGCACACGACGCGGCCGCGCGCGCGAGCCCTTTTGGGCGGATGGTCGTCGCGCTGGGTGCGGCTACGCTGATTATGGGGCTTGCGCAGTGGGGCGCGCATGGCTGATGCGTTCACAGAGGCTGGGGCTGGGACGCTGTTTACCGTACGGGGGGTATGGCGATTGGTAGAGCGATGTCTAAACTAACACGGGTAGATATGCGTTTAGCTATATTTCGTCATCTTGTAGACTAGCCAGAACATCGATCGATTTAATATAATACGACGTGTGTATCCCGTCAAGTCGACCTACCAACCCTCACACCCTCACCGCACCCTGCTCAGAAGCAGCAGCAGCAGCCTCCTTCGCAGCTCTCACCTCCCCAGGCGCCATATCCCTCACAGCGTCCCGCACACCCCTGCGCCACGTCCCGAGCTCCCGCTCCAGACGCGCAATCGTCTCCCTAACGCCCCTGCCCACCTCCCCGCCCTCGTTCTGCCGCCCAAAGCCGACGAGCAGCTCCTCCCGCGCGCGGATGAGCGTCTCGCACGCGAGCTGCAGACGGCGTTCGCCCGACGGCGGGAACGAGGAGGATTGCGCTTGGTTGGCTGATAGCGCTGTACCGGCCGACGGCGACGGCGGCGGGACCGAGGGAGCGGGCAAAGGCTCGGCAGCAGGCGAAGGCTCGTCAACAGCAAGCAGCTTCCCCAGCGTCGCGAGCGCCATCGCGCGCACGGGGTGCCCGGGGCTCAGCACAGCGGCCACGCCAGAGACGTAGCGCGACGACGCGCGCACTGTGTCGTCTAGCAGCTCCTGTTGCTGCTTCTGCTGCGACGCTGCCGAGGCGGGATCGCCATTCTCTCCGGATTCCGACCTGGCTCTGGCGAGGGAGAAGGCAGCGGTGAGGAGGGAGAGGTGCAGCTCTGTGAGCGCGAGGAGGGGGTGGGTAGATGGGAGGGCGCCCGCGGCGGTGAGGATGCCGGAGAGGTTGGTTGTGAGCTGGAGGGCTTTTTCTGGGTCTATGGTTCAAGGATTGAAACTCAGTAACCGAGAACGCAACTTTGAGAGGGCAAAGGGGCACGTACCCTTGTCTCGCAGCGCCGTCGCCTTCTCGAGCCCCTCCTGGCTCACATTGATCGCGTCGAGAATCGACTCGGCCGTCGTCATCGAGGCCGAAAACCCACACGTATTGCATCTGCCGACGACGAGCTCGTCCCCTGCGAACGAAAAGGGCGAGTCAGATCTCAAGCTCAAGTCCGAGTGCTACCACACGCCTTCACACGGCGAAGGAGAACGCACCGGCAGAATAAACAGACGCCACACCCCCGCACCGCTGCGCGCACCACACCGCGCTCCGCGGATCGATCGTCGTCGCATCTTGCGGGCGCGCGCACAGCGTGCACGCGCACGTGAAGCAGTACGTCTCTTTGAGCGCGCTCTGCCGGATCGGCTGGGGGAGCGTCGTGTCGATGTAGGATGTGAGTATCTGCGCGGTCGCAAGCGCTATTAGCGTTCCCTCTCGTTGTGATTGTAATACGGCACGTGGGCACGGCGTACCTCTGTGTCGGGCTCGATGTCCTTGATGGCCACGACCTGCATCTGCGGCTCGAGTTTCGCCGGGGTGGATGCGGTAGACGAGCGCGGGAAGACGACGACGGCGTTCGGGTCGCACGAGTGGTTGATGAGCGCTATCAGCGGGGAGACGGAGACGCCGATGGGTGCGAGAGCGGGTGTGGCCAGCGTGAATGAGTTCGAGGTAAACTGCGCGCAGCAGCATCAGACGCCGTCCAGACCCTGTAGGGATATGGGTGGACTCACTCGGGAGGTAAGGTCGACCAAGTCTCTAGCAGAGGTAATCCCAAACGCTGTTAGATCTCCGGGGGACGAGAGACCGAGGTAGCGGACGATGGAGTGGGCGAGGTGTGTGTGCGACTCGAAGGACGATGGGTGCAGCGAAGAGCGGTCTTGAAACCAAGGGTCAGAACCCGCCTATGGGCTGTGGAACGACGAAGAAAACACATACGAGACTGCATCGCGTCCATCTCCTTCACCCACGCGCTCTCCGGTCCTTTCTTTTGTCTATCCCGCAGCGCGCGTCCCATGCACCTGACGGCGTCGCTGGGCACGGCCAGATCGGCGGAAGGCGCCGCCTTGGCCCAGTTCTGCAGGGCTCCGCACTCGTGCTTGTGGAGGCGCCAGTCGCTCTTCTGGCATTCCTAGAGAAATAGCATGAGCTCACGAGTGCCGCGAGACCTGATGATGCAGCTCGGTGTGGTCGAGGAACGATGGAGACACGAGCACTTACAGCGTCGCAGTACCGCACCCTCTGGCATCCCGTACATCTCTTCAGGGGGTTCTTCGGAGCGGCATTCGCGCAGTACGAGCAGGCGGTGTCGAGGTGTGGTATAGACAGGACATGGACGTGCGGACGGACGGAGATCAAGACGGTGCCTATAACTTGGTATAAGAGGGTTATCGAAACGAAGATAGTGCATATTGCTTACCAGCTCTAATGCCCTGCTTGGCCCACAAGCCCCTGCCGCACTGCGGGGTCGAGCGGACCTCGAGCGCGTATGGGAGAGCACTGTACAGGCCTTGATGCTCATACTTGGTCGAGGTGTCGACTGTGCGCTGAGGCTCACCTGGGTGCTCAGCGACCTCGGAGGCTGGTGCTGCCGTGCCGCTTGCGGAGGGTCCTGGGTTGGGCACAGAGACGAAGGATTTGTCCTTTGACTGGCGTTTTGCTTTGAGTGCGGCGAATGACATTGGGATCGATTATTTTGGTCGAGTCACGTCAAGGAAATACCTAAAGAGTAGAAGGAGCCGTTCTAAGTGTCTTGAACGCTGGCGAAGATGATGGAAGGAAGTCAGGGGCTTTGAAACATTTCGGCGACTTCCGAGCAGGAGAAAACAAATCATTTCCAAGCAGTTTGTCTCCAGACACGACGTGGACATGCACCAGCGAACTTTCTGCCGTCCACCCGTACTAATGCACACAACGTTTTCTCCTGAGAGCGTAAGTGACGAGGACGCATTCTCACCGAGCGCAATGCCAGCACAGCTCCCGGTCTTGTCCTGCCGCAGCCGCAGTGTCCAACACAGGACTATAACAACTTTGCTTTCCTCTCCGTCTACCTTCCTCTCACTACATGATTGTCCCACCAGAGAAAGTCGAAGACTCGGCAATCCCGTTGCAGACTGCCGAACTTCTCGATACTAACTCAAGTACCTCTCAGAACATGGGCGGAAAGCATGCAACGGCACCTGGAACAGATAGCCAGATGGCAGGCCCGAGTGGACTGCAAACCACAGATGTACGCCACCAAATCCCTCCATTGTCCGTCCAACTCACCCAGCATCATCACCAGCCCCCGCCAGCCTACGGAGACAGGGGCCAACCAGCCATCAGCGCACCACCCACCACCCACACCAAATTCCCCTCCTCCAAGCCCACCAACTTCCTGCACCTCACCGCCGAGCGCAACTGGATCAAAGGCCACTTCACGATCAACCCCTTCCTCACCCTCCCGCCCGCGCTGCTCGCCCCGCTCGCCCCGGACGAGAGCACTGAGGCCGACCGGCGCAACCTCCGCCTCGCCGCGCGCATGGGCCACATCGACGCGGAGATCACGCTCGTCGGTCCGCAGCGCGACGAGCAGCGCGCGGCTGCGGCTGCGGGCCTGATGAAAAGACGCACGCGCATGGACGTGTCGTGCGACCACGGCATGGCCAATCTCGCCATCGTGAGTCCTTCTGCACCGCGTTCTTCCCCTTCTCCAATCGTAGTCCCCCAACCTACCATACCCATGTTCACACTCACATGGCGCACAGCGCACACCAACCCCCACCCACCCCTACACCCTGCACATCACCCTCAAAAACGCCTCCTCCACAATCCGCATCCCCACCACCTTCACCGGCCTCATCACCATCACCGCCGAGCGCAGCTGGGTCAAGCTCGGCGCCTCCCTCAGCGCACACAGCGCCCCCATCAGCCAGGTCGGCGCCACGAACCGCTGGTTCGTCGGCGACGACATCGCCGCGCTCTGCGAGGGCGACTGGCTCGGCGACGTCATCGAGATAGACGGCAGCCATTCGCGCGTCAAGGTCAAGTACGTCGACAAGGTCCCTGGCGGGGAGACCGGGGCTGCTGTTGGTGCAACGAAGGCGAAAGGGTTTTGGAGCCGGTTTGCTGGGAAGTCGTAGACACTGCTTGTACTTTTAGTTTGGTTAATTTATAGTATGCAGGGATCTTTGCTTCAGCGGGACACAGTGATTGCACAATGAATACATTCTCTAGCTAACACAAATTCACCTCTTCAAGTCCAGATACAAAAAGCAGCGCATAAACACAAAAACAGCTACTGGATGCTCATCAAACTGCCAACGAAAGTCAAGATCTGGAAAAAGAGGGAAAATCGACGTCAGCACACACTTAAACAAGACATGGTCTCAAACTCACCAGACGCGGTCGGATATCAACGATATCCTCGGGCACAAGGAAAATAAGCGCATTCAGCTTCCTCGCGATCGAAATCGCAAGTTTAGCTACATCACCCCAACCCCACCTCATCAGCCCACCATTCTCCCTCAAACCCTCAAAAAAAAACGCACCATTCTGCCGCTTATCCTCATAGTCCCCATTCTGCGCCACATCCAGCACCAGCGTCGGATCGACGACGCCCGGACGCAGACCCTCGAGCACGTCCAGGAAGAACACGCCCGTGCCGATCGCCGGGTCCTTGAACGAGCGCACGGGCCGCGAGCCGAGTGTGCCCTTGGCCGCCTGCGCGTTCGCCCACTTGAGCATCTCCTGGTCGCTGATGGGCCGGCCTTGGCCCGAGAGCGCGGTGAGCGTTTTCGTGATGTTGAGTCTGCGGGCGGGTTCGAGCGGTCAGCGTGATGTTTCAAGAAATGAAAAGGAAAAGTGGATAGCGGATAGAATGGATTTGGGAGAGGTTTCTTTTTAAAGATATGAAAGAGAGACGCACCGCATGAGCTGCCACACTAGCCCCAGCACGAGCGTCCTCGACCCGTCGACAATGTCCGCGCCCTGAATGCCCACGAGATGCATCCCGTTCTGCTTCCCCAGGTCCACCGCATAATTCGTGTTCTCGACCTGCTTAAACCTTGACAACGTGCTCTGGTTCGGCGTCACCCCGATATCCCCCTCGTCCACGCCCTCGTCCATCATCGACACCGGCGCCGCCCCCGCCCCCGCGCCCCCCTTCGGCTTCGACACGCGCCGCCAGACAACCGACCCTGGCAACACACGGTCAAACGCCTGCAGAATAACAAGCCCGTCTTTCAGATTCTCAAACAGATTAAACACCGCCGGCTCGACACCGAGCGAATTCAGCCAGAGCGTGAACACGCGTGCCTCGCGCTCGCCCTCCGCGTCAAAGTCCTCCACCGCCCCGTAGTCCTTCGCCTCCTGCTCGTCGAGCGGCTCGAGCCCGGGCCACGTGTTGAACAGGTTCGCGACGAACGCGAGGTTCAGCCGCGGGTTGCCCGCCACGAGCGACGACGGCGTGAGGTACTTGCGGCACCCGATCGCCGCCGCGTTGTCGAGCACCTGCTCCGCGCGCTGCCGCACGTCGCGCGTCTGCAGCGGCGCGCGCGAGCACACGTCCGGCTTGAGCTGGTTCAGGAGCACGGTGTAGTTCTCCGCGTCGGAGACGTCGCGGCTGAAGTTGTTGACTCTGCAGTGTATGCGTTATTTTATCATGCCCTGATCGGTCTATTAGCGATCGCGTACCTCCTGTTCCAGCCCGCGGCCTTGAGATGGTAGTTGAACCACCTGAGCAGGATCTGGTCCGGCGTCAGCCTCAGCAGATCGTCGATCGTCTCGCCCTCCTCGCACAGCCTGTACAGCTCGGGGTGCAGCTTGATATCGACCTGTGCGAGCAGGCCCTTGCGGATGATCTGCCAGATGAGACCGAGAATGAGGTGCTCGCGGCCCTCGGCGATGTCGGACGAGCCGATGTTGACGACGGAGCAGCCGATGGCCTTGGCGGACGTGATGACGATGTTGTTGTTCTCCGTCATCTGGAAGTTGTTGAGCGGCTTCTTGCCCGAGGGGAGGTTGAGCACGCGCGTGTCGATCGTGTCCGGGACGGAGTCGTTGATCAGCTTGCACAGGATCAGGCCGTCGCGGCACTCGTCGAAGAGCTGCATTGTGTCAGTCGGGATGGGCACGCGCGAGCCGACGTCGCGGTCGGCTTCGAGGACCTGGTTCGGGGCGGGAGCAGGATGAGGTTGGGGATCATACACAGGGTGAAGAGAGACGCACCCCGTTAATGTGATTCGTAAACTCTCTCCGCTCATCCTCGTTGATCGTATGGCTGACGTTCGCGTTCGATCCTTGCACCGTCACCTTGCCAGCCTTGGTCTGCAGCCCAGACGACTTGGCCGAGCGTAGTTTGACGTTGAGCTGCACGCCAACAGCGAAATCTGTGAGACGGGTGATGATGACATCATGGGACGAGCAAGCGCACCTCCACCCAGTCCTCGAGCTCGACCTTCCCGCTGGCGTCGACGCTGACGTGCTTGAGCGTCTCGCGCGCCTGATCGTAGCTCTCGCCCTGTTTCTGGAGCACCTGGAGGACGTCGGCCTTGTCGACCTGTCCTGGCGTGTTGGTGTTGATTTGGCTGCAGAGACCGCTCAGTCAGCGCGTGGTTAGATTACACACAATAGGACGATGACATACTTGAATCGGTTTATGAGATCGAACATCTCATCCTGGGAGACTTCGGGGTACTTCTTCGCTAGTCGTATGGCCTGCATGGGGGGCGGACGCGGCGAGAGCGTAGGTGGTGGTGATGGGGAGAGGTGTTTCACGTTTAGGCTTGTTTGGGGCCGCCACCTGCTGGCTATAGCGGGAGACGGCGGGGGGCTGCGCGTGGCTGTAACCATCACCATCCTTACTGCGCTTGGGCTGTACGATCTGTTTTCTTGAGCTGATCCTCAGGGATTTGTGGTTTATATATCGCCTCTCGAGCTTCATTCTGCCCACCCGCAGCCAGCCGCGGACGAGTCTAAGGGCAAAGGGGTCGCTGCCTCATGTTCTGTCATGACAAAGACTGGCTCTCGGAGCGCGTGTTTCCGTAAGACATTAGGATCCTCTGAGCCATAGCTGACTCCTCTAGAATTTTATCAGAGCCTAAATCTACTAGCTTCTCTTAATTTCCGTGGGCCTGGGGTTTCGTTATCTTGGGCCTACTTCTCCCACTCGGATCATGCTGCTGTGCACCGAGCCTACTGCGATGCACATGCGCAGCGCACCTATCCGTTCTCCAGTCAACGGTCTTGCGCGCAGTCCACAGCAGCTGGTATCGCGGCGACTGGCTCTCGCTGCGGTCTTCGAGGGCAACTGTACTGTTCCACGCAGAGGTCGGACCGAATCGGCTCATTCATTCATAGCCCCACCAATGAGCGGGTCCGAAACGTGCCGAAGGAACGTTTGGCCTCGCACGACCTATTCCCTCCTATGTGCTCTTTCGAGCAACATTCGAGGCATATGTCAGGATTGTATTATCCAGCAAGCTTCCATAACTCCCAAGCGTTCTTATATGTACTTCCAGCAAGCTGAGCGATCCCTTGTCTCAATCTCTCAACGTCTACAACGATGGCCTCTGGAAATGACGAAGAATACCCTAGCGAGGCTACAGGGCTCGCCTTGGAAACAGTTAGCAAACATGCTGCCGACAGCGACATCGTCCTCTTCGGAAGCTGGTTCTGCCCATCAGTTCAGCGAGCATGGGTAGCTGCCGAGTACCTTGGCATCCCGTATAAGGTAAGTACAGGAGCAGTACAGGAGCTTCATCTATGTATTGAGTCTGACGCCCCCCTCTGCACAGTACCGTAAGCATTCACTTTTAACGCATCCTCCCAGAAGTCTGATAGGGCGTATTAAGATGAAGTCGATCCGTACCAGAAACCCAAGGACCTCCTCGAGCTCTCACCAAAAGGACTCGTTCCTGCGGTTAAACTGAACAACTTCTCGCCCGCGCGGGGTCTGAACGAGAGCACAGTGATCGTAGACTATCTCGAAGGGTGAGTATGTAGTACTTGATCTCCGGCTCAGCTGGGACAGTTCCGAGCCACACAACTAACAACATCGTCAGCCTCGGGGCAACGACGACCAAACGGTCTCTCCTCCCTCCCCGCACAGACACATGTAAGCAGCTTCTCATTCTCATTACCGGCCGACTCTTTGGCCTATGTCTTATAACTCCCCAGACGCACACGCCCTAGTCCGCCTGCAAGCCGACCACATCTGCAGCGCGGTCGTCCCCGCGTTCTATCGCCACCTCCAAGCCCAAGGACAGCAAGCACAAGTAGACACCAAGCACGCGTTCGTCGCCGCGCTCGAGCGCCTCGCCGAGCTCTTCGAGCGTGCGGAGCGCGAGGTCGGTGGTACGGGCCTGTGGAAGGAGGGCGGCGAGCTCGGGTATGCGGACGTTCTAGTTGGGCCGTGTAAGTCTCCAAGTCCGAGTTATGTGGAACGGATCGCCACTGAACATCAGGTTTTCCTGCATGTAGGGATCTTCCGAGTGACCAACGTGCTAGCCCATTATCGCGGTTTCGAGATGCCTAAAGGGCCCAAGTTCACAGCGTGGGTTCAGAGGGTGCTCGAGCACCCTGCATTCAAGTGCACATGCAGTGCGGACGACGCCTATATCCAAGCTTACGTGAGGTGGGTTGTTCAGAACATCCTTTTGTTGTGGACGGCGTAACTGTTTTCCATGGTAGTTATGCGTACGACCGACCTAAAACGAATCAGGTCGCCATTCCGACCACGTCTGGGAGAGGGTTTCCGTAGAGGGCGAGAAATGGAAGCGTCCCATGAGCCAAAATAAAGGCGGAGTGCTGAGAATAATTCCTCATGTTACTTTTCTTTTCTTTCGAAGATGTATTAATATTACACGTAACAGCGGTGACTCGTATCAAAGTTTTTTCGCGTCGTTTCTCCGTGTATCCCTCGGTAACAACTAGGCTGGTTTTATCATATATATGGTGCAGCAACTCAAACGGCCCGATCGATGTCGTTGTGCCTTTGAAGTGATTATCCCACCTTTTTTACTTCGTATTGTGAGGTCTCGTAAGCTAGTCTCTAAACGAGTCTTCTCAATCCAAACGCTAATTTAGCAGACTGCTCAGCCGAGTGTTATTCATGACATAATTTCTACACACCCTTTCCCTCAGATTTGCTTCTGCATCAGCATGCCGAACTCCTGCCAGAAAACAAAATAGCTCAAGTCAAGCCAAAACCAGCACTGGTTTTGAGTAGAAAGGTTAACAAACTCCTCCGAGAAGAATATCAAAGGACTAAGTAGTACGATGTCAACGCTGATCCCTTCCACCACGCCCGAAAATTCCCAAGGTATCCGCAAGGTACCCGACTCAGCTGGTGCCCCACGCGTCCCGCCACACCGGCAGCGCCTGCGCATCAAGCTGTGCATCGAGATTAAACTGCGATATACAGCACACCTACCTATTTGCAGTCCGTGCGCTGATCAGGAGAGCAAACGTCGCTCTACGAAGAATGCGGCAATATGCAATTCTGCCGCAGGCTAAGAAACTTTCACGTAGTTTCAAGCCGTTGACTCGGAGTCGAGCAGTGGGATGTTTAGATAGTAGTATGACGTCATCCCGGAACTTCCCCTAGTACTTATTTTTCCCAAGCGAACGATCTGACTCTGAATCGTATTCTTGTTCTTGCATGAGTCCTACAATGACCGTCGGAGCGGACAAGGACTATCCCAGCGAGGCGACAGGGCCTGCCTTGGAAACGGTCAACAAGCACGCAGCCGACAGCGACATCGTCCTCTTCGGGAGCTGGTTTTGTCCGTTCGTCCAAAGAGTGTGGGTGGCTGCTGAGTACCTTGGTATATCGTACAAGGCAAGTGGTGACTGGATATGTCTTATGGACTGTGTTGATCTGACAACTTCTGCTGTGCAGTATTGTGAGCATTCGTCGTTGTGGCGTGCTCTCAGCATGCTGACTATCTGTGGACTCCAGATGAAGTCGATCCTTATCAGAAGCCCAAGGAGCTCGTGGAGCTCTCACATAAAGGACTCGTTCCTGCGTTACGGCTGAACAGCTTCTCGCCACCGCGAGCTTTGAACGAGAGTACAGTGATCATGGACTATCTTGAGGAGTGCGCAGCATGATCGCCTTTGATTTGGTCTCGCAGTGCTAATGTCTGTCGTCAGTCTTGCGTCCACAACGACGAAACGATCTCTGTTCCCTCCCAGCACGGACGCATGTAAGCAGGTCCATATTCTTGCAACAAACTTGTGCACATGTATCTGCAGATGCGCGCGCCCTTGTTCGTCTGCAGGCCGACCATATCTCCCGCACACTCGTCCCCGCCTTCTACCGGTACCTTCAATCTCAAGATCAACAAGCTCAGATCGACCACGGAAAAGAGTTCGTCGACACACTCGAACACCTCGCCAGCCTCTTTGAGCGTGCGGAACGTGAAGTAGGCGGCACAGGGATGTGGAAGGAAGGTGGCGAGCTTGGCTATGCGGACGCCATGGTTGGACCGTGTATGGCTCAGTTGACTCTCTATCTAATCTCAACTGATCAACTAGCTGTGCAGGGATATTCCGCGCGAATAACGTGCTGACCCATTATCGTGGGTTTGAAATGCCCCAAACGCCTAAATTCTCGGCGTGGGTGCAAAGGCTACTGGAGCATCCTGCGTTCAGATGTACATGCAGTACAGATGATATTTATGTTCAAGCCTACCTGAGGTAAGTGTTCTGATGAGCTTTCATGCTATCGAAGAGGCGATTATACCTTTTCCAGGTACGCTTCGAACCGGCCAAATACGAGTCAGGTAGCCAACGCGATCAATTCCGGGAGAGCACTGCCGTAAAAACGTAAAAGGGGGAGACATTCTCAAACAAAAAATTACAATGTATAGTACCTTTGTCTTAAAAATTAGACGATACTTTTCATTACCACCACTATGAGTCAAAAGGTTCGATAGGAACGCGTCTGTTGCACGGCCAAAAAGACATTCGACTTCGCTGCGGACATGGTTGCTTGCACTTGCGCCACAATAAATCCAGATATATCGAACTTGCTCAGCCATTTGGAGAGTATGCACAGCATGTCCCTCGTACCAGTGCTGATGAAATCATGTAATTAGAAACAAGATTGAACACACGCCACACCAAAGACACATTCACGGACCCGAAATTTAAAAACAAAGGTGATTCAACTAGCACAGGACGATGAGACCGTTCTCTAATGACTTCGCTGCCAACATTGCCTTTATACAAATCGAGTCAACGGCTGTCAATATGTCGACAAAGGAATACGCGTTCTCTTAACTAGAGACACAGCATGACATTTCGACTCCAATCATTGCTTTGTTCCCAAAATGGTACCTTTCTATATTAAAACTGGTCTTTCTCTCCGGTCGTCTTCCCCCTGCCATTGCAGTGCCTAAGCCATACGATGCATGTCTGCGGTTCCGCCACAGCAGTCGACTGTATCCAATGGTTGAGCGACTGATCAGCGTTCAATATGTATAGAAAGCAGTACTAGGACGCGGATCCTAGGATGTGGTCCATATTTACCTATGCATAGCATGGCCATGCACTGAGGCAATGCACTGTCGACTAAGTGTTGTGCTGAGCAACGCGATGGACGACGTGTACGAGATATAAGGTGGTCGAATCGTCGTGTTTCCCATCGATATTATCCTCAGAACAGCCCTCTGATATTTTCTATCCCCTACATCACGACATTTCTATATCAAGGACATAATTTAAACTCAAGTACGACGTTAAATGTGATTGAGGACTTGGTTTTCTACCAAGTCCTCAGCCACACTTGGCCTCTTGCTAACCTCAGCACTATTTCAGATACACAAGGGGTATCTTACGTTGCAGATAACGGCGGCTCACTTGGGAGTATTCTAATGAAATGTGAGTAACATCAGATTATTTAGCTTTGAACGCTGGGTGATTCATTCACAGCTATAAATTGGGCCCCGGTTCGAGACTGTACAAGGATGAAACCTCAGGCAACATGTACAGTACGTGAAGATAACCATAGCATAGCACGTACTCAAGAACCGTGGACAGAAAGGGAGAAAACGCCCCAAGAACGTATATAGATCCACGAGAACGTACTCGTCCACGGACCAGCATGATCACACGACAGGTACCTCAAAAGCTGCCAACACGATTCGCTGCGCGGGATCATATGAAAAGCGCAAACATCCGCGTTTGCGCGTCATGAACGAGGTACCCGTCCTCCCAACGGACTCATGACGCCTACGGAGACGCTCAGGGTGTCGATGCACATTGCCCGCGATCCCCTAATCTGAAGATCTCAAGAACAGCGAGTAGAAAGGTCGTATTCTGGGATTCTCGACGGTCGTAAAGGCACATTCGATCTCGTAAAGTGTGAGCGCCAAAGGGTACCCACGATGCGCCGCTAGGCGGCTACGATCGTCGCAGAGCCGCACTGCCAGCGCCGCGACGTCTGCGTGAATGCTTCTCTTCTGGAAGTACGATATGAGCGCATTTCTTCTTCGAAGAAAACGAGAAGGGAAGGTGGAGCACCGGTGAACATTCTTCGTGCAATGTAGCTAGCTTGGGCGGTTTGGGCCACTGATGCCATATGCATATCGGAGGCAAGCAACAATAGCCCTGAAACGAGTGGGAGTCGGCGCATCTGAGCTAGACTCTCACAGAGCAGAAGAGGCGGCGCAGCCAGCCTTCAGAGGCTGATATCGTGACGTGGTATCGCCAAGAAAACGGTGGCGAACGAGCGAACTGAATGTGCGGTGAAGATATCCTGGAACATCGGTCAAAACAAGATACTACTGTACGAAGATCAGGTATACATAGCTATCTTCTCCACACGAGATGAAACGTTGCTGAATCGGTGCACCTCGGAGAATGGGGTATGATCTCTTCTTCGGTTCGGTGTATCGGCGCTGATGGCTTAAAGCGTCGCGGGATGGATACACGGTGTACACAATTAACTTGTTCCATCGGCCACGGGAATCAACGTCCAAGCGGGATTTATCTCAAGGCCCGTGCTAATTGCTCGCGAGCAAGCACAATCCTGCTAGCTAATATTCAAGTTCAGGTATGTCAAGTATGCACCGGAACACAGAAAAGGATAGGCACACCTGACCTGTGTGGTTCTGTCAAGCCTCGACGTTTCATTTTGTCGGAGCCAGCGCAGCCCGACGTTGTTCATCTCCAGTCTCCAGGGCTTGAGTGTCCTTTTGCAATGGAGACAGCCAGCTTGGGCATGGTCGACTGGTCATATCCAAGGATCGATCATTCCGCGCCAAGATAACCGAGCAACGGGATCGCCGAACGCTTCTTCATCTTCCGGCGACATACAACCGCAATCGTCGGCATCGTCGCCGCTGCGAGCGGATGGCAATCCGCAGGAGGGGTCTTGCACGATAATAAGAAGGATAAGGTTCAGAGGCTGATTCTCTCGGCGCTTTTCGCGAACTCGAAGCACATTGGTCGGTTTTGGATGTTCGTTTCTTGTCGTGTCCGCGCGGGCGAGGGCTGCTTCGCGATTGAGTACAAAAATAACATACCGGCGTCCATACAGAAGAAGTGAACATCCACTGGTAACATCGAGAATAGCGGGTGAGAAGCATGCTATGCAGAGCGCGGTCCCGCTAGCGCTAGAACGCCGTACGCGCTGGAGTCCCGACATTTGTCCTCATCGCGACAGCGAACTCATGTATACTTACACCTCCAAGGCGTACGGAGTATCACGGATGATCTCCATGTCCAGAAGCATGTGATTGAATATGGATCATAGCGAGCTGAGCCCGTAGCTCAAAGAGGACTGGAAAGGTTATACCTGTTGTGACAGACCTTCTGGACATATTCTACGCCGCGTAACCGCGCTGAGATATCCCGCATACTACTACTGCGGAAACGAGTTGCAAGCGTATATACGCAAGTCGGTCTTTCGCTGAAGAACACACTGTAGTCATGGTCTGTGTGTGTCTCGGTGACGAAGACATTGCCGCCTAAGAGCACATCCAGTTTCGAGGACACGGTCAGACAAAAAGTTAATCATCATCAATCGCAATGTTACCAAGAACTGAACCGAAACACTCACGACCTGGACTCGGTTTGTTTAGCCTCTAACATAACCGTGCGGTGACGTTCCCTCGGAAACCCACGAAACGCGCGTCCATACGAGGCTTCTCGGGGGGATCCGAGAATGGCTGTGGGTCACTATGGGTGTTATTCAGTGAGCGCATGGGTCATTGTATACGTCACCGCTGACTGAGCTTGGCAGTGACCAGAATACCATGACGAAGAGACCAAGTGAAACCAAACCTGTTTGCGTGGCAACCTTGGGTAAACAGCAGGCTGCAGCAAGACCTCGTATGTCCTGGCGGCCGTCGAGCAGCGATGATTCAGCCTGTTTCGTTGTTGCAAGGTGACATTGTAAGCAACGAGCCGGAGACCTCCTCTGGAGAAGGGCGTTGGTTGCAAAGGCCGGTGAATGGCCGAAGAAGACCGGGCTTCTGTCTGACGGATAACGCCATGGAAAACACGGACGATCGAGAGAGTACGTTTCGAGAACGTGACTTGTCCGACGATCGCCGATAGTGATGGACATAGAACAAAGCTTGTTGAAGGTGCGGTGATGTCTGGATGGGACACACTCGTCGAGACTTGAGCGAACCAAGAGCTTGGAGAGGCGGAGAAATAGAGTCAGTTTTACTCATCCTTTCTCACGCCTCAACTGTCTCGCCAATCGCAGGCGAATCGTCAAACGAGAAGTCTCAGGTTCACTCTGACAGAGAACATGGCAAAAGTCTGACAACGATCGACAGGGATACCTAGTACAGGTCACACAGAAGAACGTCTCCGTCCAGGAATCAATTCTATATTGAAGCAAGTAGAATCCATAACGATAGTCTAGCTATGCGACAGCGAATGCGTCAAATGCAAGAAACGAAGTAATGAAATGAAAGTGTCGATGCAAGAAGTGATGATGGTTGAATGATTGATTTAATGTATGATGTGGTTTTTTGGATGACAATGTCGAATGCAAGTGCGGGAAGAATGAAACCGGAAATAGCAAGATGAGGACCGGGAATAATAGCCAAGGGTAATAAGATAGTGGGGTAGATGATGTGGATAGATGAGAGAGACGATCGAGAGCGGCTATATGTACACACGAGATCTAGAATAGTACATGTCCTTGATGCGGGAATAGAACCGGGAGAGAGAGAAGAGCGGCAAAAGCAAAGCGGCAAAACTGATGGCGGGCAAGCGGGAGGCGGGAAACGGGGAAGCGAATAATGACGGGGAGGGCGGAATACGGGGGGCGGGAGTGACGAAGGGAGGCAATATCGCAGAGAAGCAAAAGCACGCGGCACAGACGAAGAGGGAGAGAGGAAGGAACGCGACTCGAGAGATACAGTATGTAGATCCAACAACAGTGGTTTCCAACGAAGAATGAATACAGAGAAAGAACCAACGAACGAGTAGGTCCGATCCACGATGATTCCAGGCGAGAAGCGAGCAAGAAACACGAACAAGAAAGAGAAGCAAACGAGCGTGCGAGCCCAGAGGGGGAGACGAAGAGTGTGTACACTTTGTACGGAGGCGCTCCCAGGGGTGAGGGGGGTTCGGCCGACGGCGAGAGGTGAGGTAAGAGAGAAGTGAGTGTCGGGGAGGGAGCGTGGGTAGGAGGGAACGGGAGGAAGGGAACGGGAGTATGAGCGGATCCAGTAAAATGCGAGCAGTATAACCCAAGATATTAGCATAAATTATAACGAGCGTGTGATGATAGCGTAGGATGTTTTTGTTGAAAAATATCCCGGAAACCAAGAGAACAAGATAGAGAGCGATGCGAATGTGTGTGCGGTGCGATGCCGTGCGGATATGCCTGTGAATAGAGGGTGGAGTTAGGTATGTACGATGGTGTGGTGTGGTGGGGGTGTTGAGGACGGTGATAGCAGCAAATGACAGTGTAGCGCAGGATGTATGCGTGCACGCGAGGTCTGCGAAAACGTTAGAACACAAAACACACACCAAAGGCTCATGCACGATTACTCACCGATCGACTCAACCTCTCCTCCAGAAACTCTTCTTCGGAACAGGCAACATCGTCGTCTTCCCTCCTCCATTCCCACCACCATTGTTCGCATTGCTGCCAGCGTTCGTAGTAATCGTCCTCTCCACGTCCTTCTCCCCGGCACCCACAATACGCAAGCCCATCTCATCGACCACCTTAAGCGGCGTCCCCGTCAAGCCCCTCTCACGCGTCATCGTCGCAGAAGCCGCGCTCAGAAGCGACGCCTCGCTCCGCGAGCCATGCAGCGTACCGATACGGCTGCCGCCCGTGAGCATCTGCGACGGCTGCTGTTGTTGCAGTCTCGGCGAGGAGCGCTGCGTCGTGAGCCTCGGCACCGCGTTCGGAATCTGGCTGCTCTTGGGCGGCACGGGCGGAGGGCTCGCCGAGAGCGGACTCGGGCCGGGGCTCGTTGCGTCGTCATCTTCCTGAGTCATGTACTGCTGCTGCTGTTGACGCTGCTGCTGTTGCTGCACAGCAAGCAGCCTAGCAGGCGGCGGCGGGAGCGCGATTCTGCTCGGCGGCGTGGGGGACGAGGCAAACGTGTACTTGCCCGACGGCGGAGAGACCGTCTTGGACAGCGTCGGCGAGCCGATCTTGCTCTTCGTCGTCTCGGTCGCTGAAGGAGATCTCAAAATCTGCATCGACGAGCCAGGCGGCGAGCCGGGGCTCATCGTGGACGATTGAGGAGGAGGACTTGGCCCCGAAGCTATGGCAGAGCGCATAGGGAGTGCGCTGGTAGACGACGGCGACGCCAAGCTGAGGTTAAGCGGCGGGGGTGGGACACGAGCGCGGGGCTTTGGTAGACCTGTCGCAGGAGCTCCGATACGCGAGACCGTCGGGGAAGTGACAGTGGCAGCAGCAGAAACCGGCGTCGTAGTAGTGCTGATCGGTGGGACCTGGGGGACAGTGATGGTCGATTTCGCCTGCGCGCGGTTCTTCCTCCCGAAGAGCGACAGCCCGCGGTTGGGTGCCTTCTCCTCCTTGGGCGGGACAGCAGGAACGGGCACTGCGGGAGGCGCAAGCGCGCCCTTGGAAGGAGCGCTGCGCAGGCTCGAAGCGCTTGGGATCCTCGAGGTGCCGCTGTTGGAACCACCCGAGCCCTGGGAAGCGAGGCTGACGTAGCTTCCCTGCTGGCCCAAGGCCCGTGCGCCGGAATAATAACCAATCCCAGAGGTGGGCGTGCCAAGACCGGCGTGCGAGAAACTCGTGCTCGTCGGGGTGGGTGTAGGAGTCAGGTTCGGTGTGCTCATGCTCGCGAGCGTGGGGGTAGGCGTGGATGCAGTGGTCGACGACGGCGTCTGGGGAGGCACAAGCAGGTCAAAGCTGCTGCGCGCTGGCGATGGCGATGGCATGCTAGAGTTTAGGTTCACGGTGGAAGCGTGGGCGGTGAGCACTGTGTTCGTGGACTTTGTCGGCGATGGCAGCGCCTGGTATTCATACGCAGGCGTCGCCTCTGCGTTTGCCCTCGGAGTGGAGAGTGTGGGCGATGTGACCGGGGGGTAGACGAAGGTGCCACTCGTGGCACTATGGGGCATGGGAGGTACTTCAGCGTCTTCGGGTACCCAAGTACCACTGACGAGACTGGCTCCGCCGATACTCGTCCGTGGAATCATCGACGAGATGCTTGGCCGAGGCAGAGGAGGAACTTCCTCTTCTACAACACCTGGATTGCGATTGCTCGCAAATGAGGCGCGCGACATGGAGAACGACTGGCGGAGACTCGCGAGCGAGGCCTTCTTCCCTGGCGTCTTGGTCGGCGGACTAGGCTTCTCGCGCGCGAAGGGGTCTGCCTTCTCCATCTCTGGCGTGCGAGGATCCATGCTGGCGTACTGCGCAGGAAGTGCGGGCACCGGTGGAGCGTCGCTGGACTGAGTTGAGGAGGGCAGGTCAGGTCGAGGTGAGAGCTTCGCGAGGAGACTCATGAGCCTGGAGCGCTTCTGGGGTGCCTGGCCGGGCACGCCGAGCGCGTCTCGTCCATCCCCTCCTTCAGCTTCATCGATCGCAGACCTCGAGCTCGTGTAGGTGTGGGCACGCTCTCGCTTGGGTGTCATGCGTCCAAGGAAGCTGCTCTTCGTCGGAGACGGCGGCCTCTGCTGTTGCTCTTGTTGCTGCTGCTGCTGTTGCGCACCCTTGACATCGAGCGAGGACGCGGCGCTCCATCTGCTCTGCGGCTCCTCGAGCTGAGGAACGGCCAGACGAGGAATCGGGCCGGGGCTGGCAGGTGCACCTCCAGTGGCGGTGGCGGCAGCACTGCTTTCCTCATAAGGAAATTTAGGGCCGGTAGCGTGCTGAGCGGCGACCTCGTCCAAGGAAAGGCTCTCGCGGGCCATCCTCTCGAACCCTGACCCTGATGCCGTCGATAGCGTGGGTGAGAGCGGCAGCGCGATGTTCGCCGCAAAGGTAAGACTCTGGCGCGGACTCCTCGAGCCTGATTTGGCGAACTCGCCCGAGCCAGACGTAGGCACACGAAAGTGACTGGTCGCCTGGCCGTGGTGATGGCCCAGTACATCTGAGGAGGCGCGCGGCCGCCGCGGCTTCTGGGTGCTTACCGCAGCAGGCGCCAGTCCGATGTGTTCGCCGCTCTGTTCGGGGCATTCCGAGGGCTTGTTGGCTTGTGCACTGGTGCGGTTTGATGGGGGCGCCGAGTGGCCCTCGACGAGCGCGGTGGGAACAGTCGAGGGAGATGATGTCGCAGCCGAGTGCGTGAACGAGGGCATCCGGGGAACCAGTCTCGGTGAGTCCGACGTCGACGATGGCTGATCGCGGCGAGGTGTCGGCGGAGGAGGTCGTCGGCCCCGTTCCTGCAGAGACTAATATTCATTTCCGCTCAACGACCTTTATCAGCGCACATGGGGAAAGGAACCGTACCTTCTTGGGTGTCCGCGGTGATTTGCACGTGGAACGTTGTGGCGCTCGATTGCCTACATCCAATCCCCAGCCCGCCATCTCCTTGACAAGGAACCTCAAGGCACGATTGCGTTCGTCCTCAAACAGTGTCTCCTCTTCCGTCAATTGGCGCCCCGTCGAGGGGAAGAAGAGGTCATCGTATGATGGCGCAGGTTCTTTACGAGAACGGGAACGAGGCAGGTGCTTCTTGTCAGCGGTAGGAGTCTTGACGTCCCCTTGAAGCGCGTCGGCATCTGCCTCCGCATCGAGGCGCGCCGCGTGTTCAGGGATGACGGGGGAGTCGGGCCGATCTATGCTCAAGCTGAAAGCACGATTTGCACCAATGGTACTCGAGGGGACGGGTGAAGGTACGCGTGACTCGTGAAAGCTGAACTGGGACGCGTCGTCCTCGTCGTCTTCGTCTAGGGTCCAGTTGTCGCCAGAGTCTGCCTCCGCAGCGGCGTGCTCGGTCAAGGCAAAGTCATACTGCTCCTCAATCCAGTTGTGGACGCGTGTGTTGCGCGCGCTGGACGTGTCGTTGAGCAGTTGGTTGAGCAGCTGTGTGGACGCTGTGTCCTCTGTGGGTAGGCCCATGCTCGTGTCCAGGACTGGGGGCGGTATGGGTGAATACGTCAATGGTACGAAAGCAGGAAAAGCGCACGAGATATGTTGAAGGGGCCGAGTCAGACAGAGTCAGCTGCGGGAAAAAAACAAGAGGTTGGGGGCCGGTGGGATGGGCAGACTATATAGTGACACAGAGTACGGCATTTTGGTCTGTTCCATTTAATCCCCCGAAGCCTCCGCTTGCCTATGGCTCCCTTGGAAAAACACTCCTGCACTCCCTGGATCTTAGATCTACAGATCATCCCGATCTTAACCGTCCCACGGGTGTACTTCTCATGCCTAACATCCCCATTTGATATTTTCGCATATTCCGTTATAGACTTACGTCAACATGTATTCATCTCATCAAAAACTTCCGTTAACCCCCCCACCAGCGCTTGCTCCCCTGGCCCATCAGCTTTTCGAGAACACCGAGGCAGAACATTCATCCATGCGCTCGGTGCACTCGCCGTTATGTCGTCTCGCGAGGTCGAGTCCTCACTCAGAGGAAATCCTCGGGAGATCCGGGGCGTCGATTTCCCTCTTTCTCTGCAACGCAACTTGAAAACAACCGCTTCCAAGGGTCGACGCAAATATTCGCGAGTTGCGCGACACCTGCTGCGGTGCAGCTGATGTAAGCTGCGCCCCCGCTTCTGACAGTAAGTGACAGTGACGTTTCCTGGACGTTTCTTTCCTTCCACCTGCCCGAAGCTCCTGCAGTCCGGTGCCGCTACGGTATAAGCGCTGCCTCGCGTTCCCGCTTCACTCCCGCCAGGCCGCATGGCCTCGCAGCTGTATAGCCAACACGTGTGAAGCGCGAGGGACATAGAGTCGCGCACGACGGCGGCTCGCGACGGCTACAGTGTCAAGCGCCAGGTGCCGACACACGCCTGCGCCAGCGTGCCCGCCACGTTCGAGCAATCATCGCGAGAAGCTTCATCTCGCCGTCCCGCATGCGCCCATGTGTCCGTGATCAGCACCATCACTAAACAGCTATCAGCACCGACCTTTCTCGCTAGTTCCCTTGCCTGATAGCGACTGCGAGGGGTCCCGAGCTTCCGTGTAGCACACCTTCGATGGATGGATGTCGCCGGTCCCATCGGCCATCGCGCCAGCCCACGCAAACCGACTGCCTCCTTGGGCTGTCGCCGTCCTCGACATCTCGACGCAGAACCCCAGTACCTGAGATGGGCGCAGTCGGTCTGACTCTACAGTACAGATCGGGGAACGCGTTCGCTCGAAGGGTAGGTAAGACTTTTCAGGGCGCTTCTTTGGAACGCCACCACTCGGACAGATGAGACTGCGCTCCCTCCCGTGTCTCTCTGTCAAGACAGTTCGTGTGCACGCGAACCTACTTGCAGCCCCATAAGATCAATCCCCTTTCTCCAGTAGCTCTTTACGCCAATACTCGGTGTTAGAGCTCCGTGCTTGCTCCCTGAAACCAAGTCTCGACGACACTGCGCTTGAATCGTTCACGCTGGTCATTCTCTAGTTGGTAACGGCCCTTCCTACCTATGCACGACTTCCTTGTCTGTTCAATATTCAGCGCTGCGGCAGCGCCATCTTCTGGGTCTTCGGCCCGTCTTAGACATGCTCATTAATTCAAAGCTAAAGCTTAAGCTTAACCAACGCCGTCGAACTCTGCTCTAAATAGTAATCTTTGGGAACAACGCTGTACGGTCTAGACGCTCGCTCTCTCCCAGGCTACAGGCGACTGTATTATTTCTTGTCTACGATGGGACGCCCTGGACACGTCTTCAACTTCGCTGAACGTTGATGAATGATGTGGGCTCTTCGGTCCACCGTGCACTCCAGAACATCCAGAACAAGGTAAAACGCCACAGAAGCCCGCCCAACCAAGGTACAGGCCGCACCGATTTACCTCTTCCAGGGTGACGCATTAATCCATACTGCCGCTAATACACACGGTATACTATAGACGTTGACGTACCTCGGGAGAACACCGCCGGTTTGAAGCTGTCGCAGATCTCTTGCCCAGTCTTGCCCCGCACCTGATCTAATCGCACGTGGGGGATGTGTCTTACTATCTTCGGACTGGGCGTAGAGTCGCAGAACTTGTCTGGAGCTCGAAGCTCGAGGATCCGGTGCGCTGAGCCGGTAGGGTGCTCTGTCTTCTTCAGTTGATAAGTCGATTATCGGCGGCGTTATGAGACAAGCGCCCGAATCTGGTCTGTCAGACATAGCGCAACGGCTGGCAGGTGGGCCATCATACTGCTAGTGCCCTTGGTAGCCGCGGGCACGGAGTCGGGATGGATTGGGTGCGTTTTGTCTAGTCGAGCTCCTAGTGAGTATCGCTGCCGATCCGGGGTAGATCAGTATCGCGATGACGTCGCGATTGCTCGGGCATTCCGATGCACGGTGCGTGTTATCGCCGTATATACTCGTCTGTTGCTATTCGCCCTGGCTGAGCTGTTCGCGCTCCTCATTTTCCAGTCTCTTCGCGCTTTCCTGTGCTGTTATCTCTAGATAGTCGCCATCGCCGATCGACATTGCTGATAGGAACGCTGCTTGCGATGTGAGGGTGAAACAGGGCTCGTACAGCCCGCTCGAGTGGACGGTTGCATGTCTTACCGCCCGAATTGGTGGCGCTGGCAGTGCTTTGAGCACTTCGAGGTTCGTCTCACTATCTGCGTCCTGTCCTACGCTCTAACGATTCCGCCAGGGGTACTCACAGCCGAGCACCGGAAGCACGGCTTTGAGCCGTGACAAGGCCCGCCTTCGTCGAGTTCCTCGCACCTTGTGCACTGTGGAGAATTTTGAACGGTGTATAAAATGTGTGCACACTTTCTCACCTGCATCAAACGACGCCGTTAATACCTCTAGTACTGTATTGAACCGAACATTTTTGCTGTTCATACTTCTCTGACCTCTGCTTATAGCGTTGTCCGCGGTACCGCATAGCACTTGAGTAAATGAAGCCGAACCGAACAGTGAGGTTTCTTTCGATGGGCCCAGTCCAACGAGCGACAGTCTCGGTTCGTTTCTCGAAGAATTTTACGCCCCTGAGGAAACCATAAGATGCTTAGTGAACTGTACTTTTCGCCGCTCCCTGTTCCACCACTAGGACCTCGGGCTTGCGCCCGCGACTATGGGACGTACAAATGTATTTTAACCCTGACCCATAGCAGCGGTTCCGAAACAAGTACTTTACCCGATTTTCTTTCTCAAGTAATAAGTTTCTTTACAACTTCACTGAGTGCACACTCAGAAACCGTCAGCATGATCCAGGCCTAGACTATCTCTACACCCTCCTGCCCACGCGATACACCTGACCGACGTCGTCATGTGTCGCGGGAGCGAATGATTCAGGCACGTCGGTCACGAGATCGCGCTCCCCCGCCTTCTTCGAGCGACTCGCATCCCAATACGGCTAGGTCGCTGCCATATACGACACTCTGCGGTGGCATTATCAACTCGATCATTAATATTTCTGTTCTGTCCAGCTACCGCAAAGTACTGCGCAGGGCGCCCATGTGAGCCAGGGCGGCGCCCCGCGAAGGGATCTATCGGCTTTTCGATATATGCATGGAATTTATTGCAACCATAGCCAGGCCGATCAAGAGCGATCAAGTCACTCAGCTTCAACGTACGTGCATATAACCACCTTCGGTGTAGGTTTCATCAGAACGGTACCCACCTCTAGTCCCTGGGGTTATCCGTGATCGAGCACTTGTCGCTCGCTGGCGCTCACTGCCTGTGACGAGGAGCTCGAGCGATACTCGATAAGCAGTGGCGGGACGTGCATACCTGTGCATACTACGCACGTACTACACATCGGATTCGTGTGCATCAATTTCTCTTTTATGATGAGTGAATCAGTCTGAAAGCCGGCTTCAATTTACTTGCGTTCACAGTGATTGGCTGGACCTTGCCAGACTATAGTATTAGCGGCTATAGGCTATAGCTATCGTTCCCGTCATCGCACATCATGCGCCAACTCATTATCGTGCCACGGACCCCTCATATGTCGCCGGCTGACCGCAGCCATCATTCTTCCAATATGCCGGTGCAGCACCGCACAGCAATTGTGCCCTCCGATAGCGCGCTCTGCGCTGGAGTCTATGCGCGATTGCATCGCGTGTCCCTCCAAGTTCGAGGGCTCTCCGTACGCTTTGCGTTTCATCCCGTTAGATGCGCCACGGTTCCCTGTGAAGGGATTCTCTTAGCGCTCTTTGCGCCGTTCGTTGCATGATGATCAAGTGCCGTCCCAACGGCATATGCGTGGACGGAGCGCTAGCTTGAGCGTACCCACCCCGGGGCCGATATCATTTCCCGTTATTGCCGCGAATGTCGAGGGTCAGTAGGAGAGTTCATACACATGTTGCCACGTGCTGCCCGTTACTCACCGAGCTAAGTAATTACTTAGTACTAGGCGCTGGGTGGTGGATCGCGGGGAACTCGGAAAACGGACATTCGAGTTCCAGGTGACAGCAACTACTGTACCTCCGCAAGGTCGTACGCTGATCGTTCAGTCGAGGAAAACTCCGTTACCTCGTATGGATCCGAACAGGTCTGACGTGTTCTTTCGAAGTTCGAACGAACGTCGCGCAAGGAATGGGGTGTTGTTCGAATCCTTGCAACTACACAGTGCGGGGTGACTGCTCTGATGACACAATCTACAGATTCTGTACTCAGCTGTCATGTCATCGACGAAGGGTTCGATCAGCAGCCTGGGCCTCCGTCACGTCTTAGATCTCAGTTTCGGTATCGTCTATTGTCATTAGTCCATACTCGTTGGATTGATTGCACTAGTGTTTCTGGATACCGGGAGTATAATGACGCCTAATAACGCACTGATGAGAGGCTAAGACGGCTCTATTAATTTCTGGGGCTCTACATTTCCTTGTACCTGGTGCTTCGAAAAAGTCGCGATATTAGTTGAGGCGTTTCTTGGGCTCGTGCACTCGTGGGCAGCACCCTGAAGTCTTTTGGATGGCTTCAAGATTCGAGGTGCTTTTGTCAGATGTCCGTTGTAACCGCTACGTGCTCTGTACACGGAAATTCGACGGAATCATCTCTGCGTCCACGCTGACTGCTCACCCAGTCCACAACTATAAGTTCATTCAATGATAGACCACGACAAAGGACGCACCGTGTTACGACGATCTGACGGCAGACATTCGTGCACCCAGGCAGGCTCGAACATAAGACCTCTCGGCGGCTCTACATATATCATTGTACGGCATCTGGTAGCTGAGAATCTCGAACACAAAAAGCCTTTACATGTCAACGAGCAAAAGTCCGTTATGCCTCGTTCAAGGCATTCATAATTGATTAACTTTAGTAGGCGAGAGTCGCCAGTGGCGACCCTGACAGGAAGCGATATCATGATATGATGTCAACGAGCCACTTCGGGGCCGTCGCCTAATGGGCGCCAAATCTATTAGACGTGCTCAAGTACTGCTAACCTTGTTCGGGAGCTGCATTTCTTCAATACGATGTTGCACAGTTTACTGTAAACTTTGCGTGGAAGAGGACCTGGCGAAGCGGAACGTCTCAGTACGCATCTTGTCTTCTCCCAAATTTCCCGCCGGAACCCCCTCCTCGAGCGCCAAACGATGTGAATGGCCCGATCGAGTATGGAGCAATTAAAAAAGCCACAGTATCAAACTCGGCCACTATACTGCCGCCGTTCCACTGTTCTGGGGCTTTCTGGGGCGCCATGCTGTGCAGGGTCAGTAAAACCCATTCCAAAAAGGCGCATGGCAGGAGGCTTGCAAAGAAATGACTCACTGTGGGTGCAGTTCTCACTCGTCGTTAGGTTCACTTTTGGGGAGAAACACAGAAAAAATACTACAAACGGGTGAGGAGGTCTAAAACTTCTTAAAACTCTGTCACATTGGGTGTGTTTGTGGCAGGTTTAATGGACTGCTCTAGGCGTCTCTGTTGTCAAAACACTCCCGAGATTGAGCCAAGAGCGTGGGAGAATCAATCTAGATAAAGTCACGTGCATTCGAGGCCATGATGAAGTGTTTTTTTTACTTGACGTTCTACTGCGTTCTACCAACGCCGCTTGCTGGACGTCCCACCGGCCAATCTTCCGGGTCTCAACTTCCCTCTCTCTGTTGGCGATACGCAGAGTGTGTAGCCACGGCGCAACGACGCTCCAGTTCGCCGTTCCTGTCCGTTTATTTCGGGCGCATGCCTGTCCGAGGTTTGAACGGTGTTCTGTGGAGCTGCGAACTTTGAGCGATGTTGACAATATTCTTGGAGGTTAGTAGAGGTTAGTGCTGAAACACTTGTCGTTATGGTCTCGATGCAGTCGGCGCAACAGAAGAATACGTTCCCCGCCTTCCGGTCCGCCAAAATCCGCGCCAAAATAGATTGAACACTCAACGCACTGAGAGACTCTATAACTCGAAAAGGTCGCGGCGTTCTTCAATGACGCCAACATTGTCCGTACCTCGTATACGCCAAGATCACTTCTGGGAGGATTCCTTATTTTAGGGACGCGTTTACGTGAAAGAAGCCCACAGCGCTCGAGGGCCTTTAACTTGGAACAGACAAAGATTGCATCTTTACCGATAACGCTATGCATGGCCTCCGTCATCACGAGTTGTACCTTGTCAACAGTCGCTACAATCTCAACTCCCGTGAGTGTATGTTTCGATTCAGATGAATATGCTGACATACTCACCTCGACAACCCTTCAATCTACCTCAATCGCTTGCTCCCTGCCGGCGGGAAGAGCGGTGATAGCGTCAAGATAGCGCCAGCACGGCGGCGCTCGAGAGGATGATTCCGCGGAGGCAAATTGAGTGACGCTCGATACATCTGCCCCATGAGGCTATCGCAATTGTAGACGACATTGATGCGGTTCCGTGGGTTAGATGGAAGCCTCTTGCAACGTGTTTCGGCGGACTCACTGAGGTCTTGAACAGCGGGAAGATTATGCTTGCATGTGCATATTGCAAATGCACTTCAGAAGAGTGAAGCATCACCAGAGAATATTCTAGGACTGCACTATCCAAGTGAAGCGAACGAGCACTCGAGTAGGTCGACTCTTTTGTGCCAGCTCGCGTCTCCAGGAAGCTATTAAGAGATGTCGGTCGTCATGAAATAACCTACAAGAGAACGAGAGGGTCGCCGACGCTGAAGCGCTAACGTCCGACAGCGTGGCATCTGCGGTAGACGCCTCCGATCAAAGTCAGCTCACACAAACTGCCACTGCGTGGCGTCCTTGATCTTCTTGACTTTCCGACTCTCGCTCTCGGAGTTTGGCCACCTCACCGCCTATATGGAAGTTGAAAAGCCGCGAGACAACGATGCTGACAATGCCGTCGTGGCATGCCCTGGCCGCAAGTGTGCCTTTGCCGCCGCCGTCATAGTCGGTATTCGTTAGACGATCACGATCGGGAAACCTGTTGATTCGCTGAAGGGATGGAGTGGAAGGCACCTTCGGCGACAGGTACCGTGAGCCGTCGGACTGAGGGCGGAGGCACGATTGCGATCTGCACTTAACGAGCGTTCGCACAGTCATAACGTTCCCAAACATCTTCCCTCGACTGTCCGCCAAGCAACCGACCGAATGCAGCCTCTGAGAACGTTCAGAAGTTCATAACGACATGCTACGAGACCGAAAAGGTGAACAACGCCTGTTAAACCCCTCACTGCAGTTACCTATAGATTTATTCATTAGGTGGCGCCAGAGTGCGGTACAATATCACGAACCTCCCAGTTGCTATATGTAAGCATTTTTTTACCTATCAAACTCCAAAGAAGGTGACCGGGTGCGCAAAATATCGAAGGGTTCTTGTGTCGACTGCATGGCATATTGTGTTTTGGTAGAAGAGCGTTAGAATACAGAGCGCCAACACGCACCTATTTTTTTTTATCTGCATAGACCTGTGTTGCCTCGGGGAAAAGTTTCGCCGGGATCCAAGGGAATGTCGGTGAGTTCTCACAGAACGTTCTGCACATCCTACATAGGATGACAAACGCCTGGAGCTCGCGGCGGTGATCATGATTCTCCCGCGAAGTAGGCTGCTATACTCGAATACGCGCTAGGTGGCATCCGATGTCCTTTCCAGAGTTCCACCCCGTGAGTCGAGGCAGCCTTATGCTCTTCCGACACTGATTAGCCCTTTTCATATCAAATTGGTATTTGATGTTGTATCAGCGCTTATTTCGTTCTAACCTTCGACTTCGGAGAATATCGCCGCTCAAATACAGAAAGGAGACAAAGGCGTTCTGATACTTCCCTTCTTCTTTACTGGGGAAGCCCACAATATAGAAACTTACGACACGCTTTATTCGGAAACTGGAACGCCATAGACGCTTGAGCTGAAAATTTAGCGGGTTGTTTCATCATGGCTGTTAGCGGATATATTAATTATCGCAATCCTAGGTCTTCCACAGACCAGCCACTATCAGCGATGAGCGAATCGAGAATGTGACTTGAACGCCGAGTGAACTCACGTCGCATCTTCACACCATGTTGAGGCGTTTCCTTTGTTTTTTTTTTTTTTTGGGGGGGGGGGGGTTTGACTAAATCTTGACTTCTCAAACATAATCTACAGGTTGTGGGTAGTGATGCACTACCGGAACATGTTAAATGCATACCTTGGGTAGTACTGGGATGTAGGATTCTCCTTAGCGAGAGACTGATTTTGTTTCAAAATGCGTGTTTGCGAAAGCCTACTTGTCTCAATGCTGAGATTTAGTATCTTAATGAAATGCAAACTTGTGACTCACAACCTTGTCCTGAAAAATATACAGGAAGTCACTAAATTTCGTCATTGAAAAAGAATCACCATGAGCTTCGTTTGCCTAACTGAGTCAAGCCTCCGCTTCCCACCGTCACCCGAAAACCTTCAGATTTCTCTGAAAGAAATCAATCGCCATCTGAGTCCGACCCTAGCTCGGTGCCGCTCTGTCACTGTCTCCTCCTTACCATCAACAGATTTGATGTAGGGATAACTTTGACAAAACCTAAACGTCGTCGATCTGCTCCCCCATCACGCCCTTTGACATTGAGTGTATTGCCTAGCCTTACCTCCCTTCCACTAAGCCGAACGTCCACATATTCCCACAATCACTCATAGCGATGTCACCGGTCGTTCTTCTTCTTCGGTCCGACACATGCTATGCATTATATTATTAAGCCTGAGCCGAGCCGAGAACCGTGCAAAATACCGTCCTTCACTAAGTTAGCCCTCCCGACCAAATGATAGTTAGAATAGAGCATATCGATATATTGAGCAGACGGCAGTAGCACTTCTGTAGATATCTAGAATGCATAATAAGACACACACGTCTCAGGGTCACAGGCGCGGGAGAACATTTCCCTGCATGTCTCTATCGAGGGCGAGCAGCTCTTGCAGCTTCATCTCCGCCTCGTACCAAGTCTTCAGCGCCCCACTCTGAATTGATCTCTCCCAAAGCTCGACTATGATCTCCTTCCACTCCTGCATCATCTCTGTCGTCCGCGGCCTTCCGAGCTGACTTGGATGAATGAACTCGTAGAGGAAACCGTTGTCGGAGCTGTACTGCCCGATCTTCTGGGCTGATATCCGTCGTACTTCGTCGTACACCTTGAGAGCGATCGGTACCCGTTCAAGCGTTACTTGCTTATGTGCAAGTAGTCGTCCGAGGATGTACGCGTCTTCGATAGCCTGACCAGCTCCAGCTCCTGTGTGGGGTGCCATACCATGCGCCTAAGCATATGTATACGATGAATATTCAAACTAGGTAAGGACTTTGTTTCGCCAAGCTACTTACCGCGTCACCAATGATCGCGACATTGCCGAAGGCTACAGTTGGAAGGTCTTTGACGACGTGAAGCGCCCATCTGTTGGGGCTTTCGCAGAGCTGTTCTTTTTCAGCGTTTGACTAGGATAACCAAGAGCGCCGGCGTACCTCGAGAACTTGTCTGACCTCAGGCTCAAAGTTTTCAAAGCTATCCAGGAGCTCTTGCTTGAGAGCAATCTCAACCCAGCGGCCCTCGAAAGGCTTGTCAATGCTATCAGGGTCGTAGACGAAGCTTGCAACATTGATATTCGCTCCGTTGTTCACAGGGTAAGAAACGACGTGCTGAACAGGAAGATACGTAAGATGCGCTGATTCTTGACATAACCTTAGAAAACGTACCTTTCCCTGTCCACATAGCTGTCATAATCGAGGTCAGTAGCTCGCCGTGCAGCGTTTGGGTGTAACGCTTACCATTTGGAAATCCCTAGCTGCAGGATGGCCGGGATACTTCTCAAGCAGCGTTTCTGAAGGAACCAAGTACCGATAGATCCGATAGCCCGACCACCTCGCATCAGCATACTCTCCCACATTGACGGCGTCCACCAAGGGATGCCTCTGCCTTGCGGCTGCCTCGTACATGGCTCGACGGGTCGAAGAGCGAATGCCATCAGCACCGAACAGGACGTCCGTAGAAGCCACGCTCCCGTCTTCAAAGTGCAGTCTGATGTCGCCGGGAGTGGTCGCATTGAACGTCCTAAGCCGTTTAGACAAGTGGACTGTGCAGGTAGATGGGAGATGTCGCTGAAGAAGGTCCATCATGTCCCACCTATGCATGCTCGAGGGTCCGTCTATGAGCTAGGTAAGTGTCTTAACCTTCGTATACAGGAGGGTGGTTGGGAAAAGGCTTACAAGACATTGTATACTTGAACCATTCGTACCCTCCGTTTGGATCGTCGGAAACCCGAAAGATAGGGCCTAGCAGGCTACATGAACACTCAAGGCCACAACCCGCGCGAGCAACGCACCATGCGGTTTATCCGGCGGTTTTGTCGACACCTTCGCAATGTCATCCCACAGCCCCAGCTCCTTCATGACCTCCATCGAGCGCTTCCATAGCGAGAATCCCGCTCCGGCGGTAGCGATACTAGGCTGCGCCTCGTATATGTCTATCGGGGTGTCGGAGTACTTGCCTATCGCAATTGCCAGTACAAGCCCGCCTATGCCACCTCCGCTATGTGACAGCCCTCTGTCAAAGAGTCCAGTAATGTTCATCCAAAAGCTGGCTCACCAGATAGCCACTCGAAACTTGTTATCACTCGGCGCCATGGTGATAGGTCGCGACTAGACAAGGGCCTAAAACAAGGCTGATGGTCAGAGCAAAGCCGCAGCTTCAGCTATCTGGGACTCGCCTTGGGCAGTTTGGGCGGTCCAAGCGGGTGATGAACGGGTTCCTGTACTTATTCGAATGCCCTGTTCCGAGTAAGCAGTCAGATGTTCAGCACTAATGCAGTCATGGAAGCCCATAATACACATTCGCCCATGCCGAAAACGTCCGCTTTTTCTGAATAGGCCCAGGCGTGAGAGGAAGCGTGGGTGGATGGGGGCAGGAAGTCAGACATTCGAACTTGGCGGCGCGACGCGGCGGCAGGCTGGCGGCAGCTGCACAGCCACACCAAAATCAAAGCCACATGACGTTGACGCGCGGCGCGGCTGGCGGTGGATAGCCACTGTCGGTTGGTTTTCATATCTTATCTTAGTGACCATGTACCACACGCTTGCCGCAATCGCTACTGTAATCGCAAACCTTCCTATCCTCCTCACCGTCACGCTGTCCCAATTGTTATTGTTCTTCGATCTATGCGCTCTCCTTAAGGACGACATTGCCCTCATACATCCGGATCATATCAACACAATCACGACCGCTCCTCCCCTGGTCCCTGAGGTGCATCTGGAGTGGATAGCTACGACTGTCGGTCTGAGCAACGCTCAAGCCGATGCTCTATGGACCACATTTCGGGAGACAATATGGGCCTGGGGGCGGATTGATCTGCGACTGCGGAAGATACTTGATAGCATTGAAGCATTCGGATGGAGGAAAGGAATATGTGAGTACATGTACTAAAATCGCTCTACTACACTAACATTTGTAGCCTTTATTCCGTTATATCCACCTTTTCGTGTTTGCCCTCGCGAGGAGTGCCAAAGCCGACGCAATAAGGAGATGAGAAAAGAACAAATACGACATGGGATAGTATTCACCTCAAACGCCGGCGTGCAGTGGGCCAAGGTGGTCCATCTAACGTGTCGAGGTACGGTCATTTCTATTCTAATAGCATGACGCTCACTCTATACAGGTTGCGGTACGAATTATCGCAATAATTATAGCGTGTCAAAGCCGCTACTTCCTCAAGACCCCGCCTTTCGTGTCTACTACGACCAGTTGAAGGTACCGATAGAATATTACCAAGTAACCGACCACCACTATGTTGACGCAAAGCTTGCGAACATGTGGACGCACATGATGGCTATTAGCACGTGAGTTTTTGTATACTTCTTTCTTATCAGATGTTCAGACCAACTCGTCGAAAGTACGGCTGCCACGAGCTGCGCCAAGCTCTACGAGGCAACGTTCGCGCATCAAGTGCAGACCTCGGCGACCCACTACTTTACACGCCCTGAGAGCGCACATTTTGTTGCCGCCCTCCCATTCTCTCCCAAGCTCACTGTCGACCACGTTTGGACGGCCTTCACGATCCACGCTCTGCTCCGTGACGCGCATGCTCACCACATGCCGTTCATCGTCCCTCATGATGGTGAGCAGGCTGCTCGTTTCAATACCGCCATGCACCAGCGCAATCTGCGCATCATTCAATTCGGGCAAGACGCAGCACGGCATTGCTGCAATGTTTGCATGCGTATATGGGACGAGGTCGACCCTTCCACCGGAATAATTATCAGGAGCAAGTGTTTCTCTCCGCCTTGAATGTTCCCGCTAACATTGCCATAGAAAAATGCCATCCTATTGTTTGCGACGGCCTCACGATTGGACACCCCTGTTGCAAGGTGTTTCGGTGCCCGTACCCGCTCGAAAAATCGCGGGACCATCATTGTGAGGGTCATGCAGAAGTCCTCAGTAATATCTGTGCCGTCGAGGGCTGTCCAAACGTTATCGTTCCCACTACCACCACGAAAAAAACCTGCGACGATCGTACTCATCAGGCGATGGAACGCAAGAGCCTTGATCGAGGTCGGTCGATGTTTGTCCTTTCCAATCGTCTCAAGCGAGCACAGGCTCGCATGTTACAGCCACAGGTCGACGAGGAGAACGTCGGCGACATTGACGATGATGTCGATGAATACTATCACGTCGATGAAGGTGGCGACGTTATACAACACATCGACCCTGCCCCACCGAATGTCGGCATGTCTGACGAGTCTGCTAACAGCCTTGAAAGCATGGTCACACCTTCCGCCATGTTCGAAGGCATCCACACCGCCTCTATACCTCTCCTTGGACTTCGTACCACCAAGGTTTCAGTCGATGGCGTTCGGACTGCCCTTGTCACGCACGCTGGTGCCATTGATGCTTCACGAACCACCCGTCCCTTGCTGCCCGCCCTCTGTCCTGCAAAAACTACGAAGCGGCAGAAGATATTGCTTGCCAGGCGCCGTACGTGCTGCGAGGTCACGCTTGTCCGTCCCTGCGGAGTTATACACCAACGAGGCACCTTCATCGGTGCTGAAGCCGTCTCGAATGTTATAGTAAGCCTATAATTTATTGCTATGGTTTCCTTCTAATCTATGCTTCTAGAAAATGACCAAGGCCAGCTTTTCGGTACCTGGCGTGACAAAGCCCAACCATTTCGTATACGACACGGCGTGCGAGGCAAAACAACAGGTAATGAAATCGAACGACGAATGGTGGCGAACAATTGGGATGTCCGTCGACGTATGGCACCTACGCAACAAGCACAAGACGACACACGATTTCTGCCAGCGGTACTGCAACCCGGCCGCTTTTCCTGAGCTCAAGTTGGACGATGGGACCGGCTGGTGGTTTAATACCTCTATTGCCGAGCAGACTAATGTCTGGCTCGGTGGCTACCATTCGATGGTGCGGGAGATGCTCCCGATCCGGTATAATTTTTTCTTAGATGAGATGGTTCGTATACGAAACATCAACACGATAGCGACGTTGAAGGCAAAAGACCTCAACCCGCAGTACACTCCCTTTAATTTTGGTAACATAGCGCAGGCGTTTACCTAGTAGTGTACATGTCCTTAGTATAGATTCGTAATGAAAATGCTCAAAGGGCCATCAAGTATTATCAGGCGTTCAGATCAGACATTATAAGGGGTAACAAAACGAATGAATTATACATAAGGGAGTAGAGTAAGTACAGGGGGAGAGGTAGCTGTTAAATGTGCTAATAGTTGTCCACATCCTTCAGCTTAATAGCCTTGGTGACATGGTCCCATAAACCGCCGTGCTCCCGCCCATTCCCGATCATAACCTCCCTGAATCCATCCGACGCCTGACTCCATCGTTTTCTAGCGTCCCTGAACGTCTCGCGAACATATTTGCCGCCAAAGATCGTCTTGAAGCGGTCGCCGCGCGAGAGGAACATGAAGCGGTCGTCGTCGAATAGCTTGAAGCCAGCGCTGACGTCAACAGCATAATAGCCCGATGGGAAGGGCCTTCCTTCGTATTCAGCTGCTTGGCTGAACATTGGAAGACCCATGGGCATCTGGCTGCCCAGGGAAGTGTTCCCCGTGCTAGTACTGCCTGCCGACGAGGATCCAGAGTCGGTGGGTGTGCTGGGAGTGCTCTTGTCAAACCAGAGAGGGGAGGCGCCGCCTAAGAATGCAAACTTGATCATCTCCCTGGCGCGGTTAGGCGTGGAGGGGCGCGGAGGGTCTGGGGAAAAGATCGAGTCACCGGAGAATGTAGCCTCGGACTGTACAGGTGACACGGAGGGAGGGGTGACTGGCAAGGGCGATGGGATGGACCTTGATCGCTTGGATGGGGAGCTAGAAGATCTGGACGGGGACGAGGCGCGCGTACGCTTGCCAGACGCAAGTTTCGCGCGGACCCTTGCACGCTCCGCAAGCAAGCAGTTGTTCTGGTCGGTGACGTGATCAGCAGGGTTGGCCAAGGATGTCGTGAACTCCTCTTCGCGAGGGCAGTTGGTAGCTCCATTGATGCGGAACAACCAGATGTCGCCATCCGCGACGGTGAACGCAAAGCTTGCATTACATGCCTTCCAGCAGTGCTTCTGCCGATTGTAGTATTCAATCTTCGTTGACTCCGTGATGTTGGGGAGCCTGGGGACGCGCTTGCAAGATTCGGGCAGAATCAGCGAGGGCCAGTGAGGTATACTGGCGCCTTCACTCTTGGATCCTTGTAGTGAACCTTCCTTGGGCTGATGACCATCCTGGTGGCGGTCATAGTTAGTAAGTACATCGGCGTGAATAATAATGAAAAATGATTAAGGCTCACCTGGTCCCATATAACAACATCTATGACTTGTGAGCCTGCTCGATCGCGTGCAAGCTGTTCGCGTTCCTGATCTCTGGCCTCAGCATCGACGAGAGAATGCTTGTTGAGAAACTTCTGCCAGTCCAAGTTCATCTGGTCAGTAGTAGCGTTCGTCTGTAGCTGCGTCAAGGGATGAGGCTGCATGGACAGAAGAGGCTGCGTGGACGGAGGAGGCTGCATGGAAGGAGGAGGTTGTGTGGACGGAGGAGGAGGCTGCGTGGGCAGAGGGGGTTGCATGGATAAAGGGAGCTGCGTCGAGGAGAGAGGCTGCGTCGAGGGTAGAGGCTGCGTCGAAGGGAAAGGCTGCGTCGAGGGAGGCTGCGATGAAGGGAAAGGCTGCGATGGGGGGAAAGGCTGCGATGGGGGGAAAGGCTGCGACGAGGAAGGCTGCGTCGAGGGAGGCTGCGATGAAGGGAAAGGCTGCGATGGGGGGAAAGGCTGCGACGAGGAAGGCTGCGTCGACAAGTCGAGCAACGCGGGGTCAATGGGCCACTGGGCGGTCGACACAGAAGAGGGAGCGAGAGTTGCAGGAGGCTGAGACGGAGGGAGGGCAGGCCCTTGGTTCACCAAAGCTGAGTACCTTGCTTTTGTGGCCGCCTGCTGACGCTGACGCTTCCCTGCCTGCTCAGGGCGGTGACCCTTGGCAGTCCTGCAGCCGCCATGGTCATTGCAATGAGTCTTGCACATGCCGGCGCTCGCAGCGATAATTCGGTTGTAGCGGG